TGTTTTTGATTAAATGTACCAAAAGATAAACACCAAAATACATTTAGTCAGTACGTTTGATGTGTCTGAATCTGGCATACACAACGTATAGCGAAGTATCGGTAGGCTATGCTAGCAATTTAGGTTCGTTCGAGTGGCAATGCAATAAAGTATGATATTTCATTGCCGATATAAATGTTATAGAATATTCTAAAGATATATCATTCATAGTTAACAAAGATGTCTGATAGGGTGACTGAGCAACGCTTAAGAACAACTCTCGTGTCGACAAAACGCATGTGTGTTCGTATGTAGCTCCTGATCAACTTAGCTGCCTGTGGTTATTGCGTTATATTGAACTGCAACATCGTCGTTATTTTGTTCATAATATACTGAAATTCTATCTAATATTCCCTCATTTCCAATTCGAAGTACGCACTACCTCTTGAGTACAGCAGCGTAACATTACAAATGCACACTTCAAAGATTATTCGGCGCCACAAGATGGTTGCCAGTTTTAAGCATATATAAAAGGGTACGATATCCGGACATATAGTATGGGCACCAAAGGTATGTTTAATGTCTAAGCTGTACAAAAGACGGAGAATTGAGTCTGAAATGATAGTTCATTCGATCGCTTCTACAGTTTTTTTTTTAAACACGGATCTCTTTGTTTTATTTTCTATTATTAAATCTTGGCTTGAAATGGCGCGCATAACAGTACTCCTAATCGGATTTGTTAAAATATAAACTTAAGAGTATTAAATTTTCACTTTAAACACATCATAATCTTAAAAAATCAAACATTAAAAACCTAAAGCGTAACTAAATTAAAATTTAATCGGTTTCGGAGTATTAATAACAAAAAATTTAATTTTGACATCGTATACTGTATACAAAAGAAGATCATATTTTTAAGGTTTCCGCTACGTTAACGTATACTACTTTTATGAAACGTGTTCAGAAAATCTTCGTAAAAAGTAATGCGCTTCCAAATAACGTATATATTTTAGTTAGTTTTGTAAAAAATTTTAAACGAAAATTGAGGTATTTATGGTAATGCGGTCATAAGCGTTTCAAAATAAAATATTTACTGTTTTTGGCGTTTCTGTGAAATTTACCATGAAATAAACAACACAGAACAACCATCTAGGCAGCGAAAAATCTTCAAATTTTTCGGGGGATAAGGATTATCTTACACAAAGATAGAATCGTATGTTGAACATTATTTCGAGCTGACAGTCAAAACAACAAAACGATGTGTCAATGAGTAGGAGTAGTACAGATTCGTCATAAATAACTGTATTCGATGTATTTCAGATAATTTTTTAATAATTGCATTTAATTCCTAATATATAAGGATGATTAAATATAGGAAATATTTTTCAATATTATTGTCCGAAACAAAATTAAAAGTATATGCAAAAATTTATGCGTGAAATGTTACATTTTGGCATCCAAAACCCAATTTAGACAATCTTTTTAAAATTTTTGACTATCAGTGCTCTAGGAATGAGTTTTAGATTATCAACAAAACGATATTTAATGATTTTTTTTATTTTCGACCAATTTATTTTAGGCGTATGATTTTATTTTGTTGTAAAAGACGTGTTTTAAAAAAAAAAATTCATTTTAAAAATTATCTTTTGACTGATCTTGTACTTTACTTTTATGCCAAGTTTATCTCAACCTCAAAAAAACTTTTATGCAAATTCTCCTCCAGGACAAACCAACTTTTTGAGATTTTTTGATTTTCTTTGAAAAGCGAAACGAGACTTGCGCATGTAGTTTTTTGATCTACGATTGATCACTAAAATTTCTTTGAAATTAGTATAATGATATTGTTCTAGTTGGAATAAGACATTGCTGAAACTAATGTATAGCTTGCGAGCACATTAAAAGCTTTTCAAAATAAAAATACTTTAAAAATAAAACGATTCAAAATTAGGATTTCTGATAATCAACACACTTATTTTTTTTTCAGTCGAATGGAAAATCACGACTTATCTCTATTTGAATAAGTAAACTTTACTCAAGAATACCTATCATCTTTACCCATCTTTCATCAGTATATTTGTAGGTATGCTTTCTACAAGCACGCGATTGGTGTCAAGAAAATATTTTATCGTGATTTCGATTATTTTTATTTGCCCGCGAATATGTAACTATTGCTAAATTACTTCTCGATACTCGCATCTGCCTGTTTGGTGGTTTTTACACTTTTGCGATTATTAGTTGAAAAAAATAATGGCCAATATTGGAGAATTTGTTTTATAACCGACAGTTATTAGAAATATAATGCAGCTGCATTTTGAATGAAATCAAACGAGTCGTTTTTCAAAATTTTTGAAAAATATCAGTTTTAGAACTTTTTAGTCTTTTTTGTTTATTGCCTAAAACAATTTATTACTGATGGTCTTTCACAATTTTCAACTACATTTTTCCGCACGATAATGTAAAATAGGTAAATTTGAGTAATATTGAATTTTCATGTATAATCGTTATCTCGTTTTTTTGTCTGCCTTTTAAACAACACCTTCCCTACAAATCATCGAATTAAGAAATTGTGCTACGATATATTATCCAAGATTAATGAACGATAAATATCATTATGGTGATTTTATAAATAAATTCTGTTTGACAAAATTCCAAAAAGGAGAAAGTCTTGATCGGGTTGTGTAGGTGCCGTGAAATTTGATTTAAGTAGAATTTATATAATCTTACATGTCTTTGTATCTTAATTTGAAAACCCACAACAAAATAAACTAGACAAAAGCTATGTCTACTTGCAACGCAAATGCTGATTCCACGAAAGTCGAAATGCCATTTAGAAAATCATTAGTTTATGTTAAACATTCTTAAATGATAAATTCAACGGTGCAGTAAAGTTTTTGCGATGATATGGATATATTAAAAGTTTTTCCGGTATTTGGTTCTAAGAAGCAGCGGCTTTTGCGTGGCTAATATTATTTTCAGAACATATGGTTTCAATTTATATATTATACAGTCGTTTCTCTAAAATCATTCTATAAGTGTGGTGTGTTTTCTGAAAAATATAGCAGGTGTTTTCATCTAGTTGTTTACTTTGCTTAGTGTTGAAACGGGGAAAACAAAATATAGTCAGTTAATTACTTTCATTCCTCAATAAGTACACCAATTAGTAAAAAATCAGACTTTGCTTTCGCGTGGAAAGCAATATTCGTTTTGTAAATCGCAGGGTCCACGATTTTGAATCAAATAATGGTTTAAATCAACTCCTCATCAAGTTATCATTACTGTGACGTCACTTTAACCAAATTTATTGGTCATTACGAAAATAAAATATATCATGGTAAGATTTGACATATTTAAAAAAACTTTTGATGGTTCAATCATCTCATTTACAATTCAAATCTATCAGGCAATGGTTCATTGCATCACGCGAATAAACAAGGCTTTTTAAACGCAATACCAGACTTATATAATCTTCATCCTTGTAGGTGTGTTTCAATACACATCTTTCAAATTCAGCGGGCGGCGACATTATTAGAGCCATTGTCCATGAATAAGGGAGTATGCTCATGAAAAGATAGTTATTTTAATATTTCTGACACTGTTGAAAACGTTAAAATTTCTTGGCATTCAACTGTTATTAGAGTTATACCAATTATGATTGGTTGTGATCTACATTTAGGGGATGTTTCCTACACGAAAATTTGATCAGAACGAAAACATTAAAATTACGTTAAATTTTCTGGTAATTTTTAGAACTTGTTAATAGCAGTATAAATAAAATCAAGAGAAATCGATCTACGCCTCGCCTGGTTTAAACAATTTGCTAAATGCACTAGCACATATGACGGTAGCGAAGTTTATCCGAAACTATAACACAATATAGGCGACTAAATCCAAAAATTGGATTAAAGTCTGTTGGGGATCCAGTAACCGATAAACGGTGCTTTAAATAGTTTTAAATAGTAAAGCTCAGCAGTTGTACTGTTTTCCCGCCATGAGATATATACTTCTCTATACACGAACCTCTTTTTATAAGTTACCTGAGTACACTTGCGAGATAATCTGAAAATGAAAGTGAGTGCGACGTATTTTATTGGAGAAATATTGGCAAATAACAAATAGAGGAAAACAAAGTAATGAACAAATAAAAAAATTAGGCGCTTCGAAAGTATGTGCACTAAGATGGCGCACAACCTGAATCCTAACCAGGTACACATATTAAGTTCAGGTAGTGCGCCATCTTGGTGCACACACTTCGGGAGCACCAAAATTTATAATTGTGCTCTGAGGAGAGTGGATTGACAGAGAGAGAGCATGCAAAATAACGAGAGAGAGAATCGGGAGGGGGAAGATAGGTAAAATAAAACGATGACCTTGAATACATATCAAACATTGCGAATAAGATTTCAAAATCTTTATTTAATTAGAACTTCTTTGTATGAGATTATTTTTGAGTTCATGCAATTCAAACACTCAGCGTAATTTTAACCACTGAGATAAAATTTGATTTCGAGCCACATGACCACGAAAAGTAACTTCAAAAAAATCTGCTTAACGATACTGTTACGTTGTTTATACAATCTGCGATTAAGACGTATTAGTAGAATTTTCGAAGAAAGAGACAAACTTCCTGCTATCAGTAATTCGTGATTGAATAATCTGACAGCAACAAAAATAACAAGCGAGAATATGAATTTTGCTGGCCATCTATCGCATAAATAACTACACTTCAATAGCAGTACGATCTTCTGTGAATCTTGTGTGTGGCGCTCGATGAGTTTTAAACCTTCATCATACAAAATATCAAATCAAATTACAGTACTCTAATATTATTTTTTGTTTACGCTAAAACAAATTTTATGGATACATTCCACATGACGTCATAGATTGGTGATTTTAAGTTTCGTGAGGAAGAATTAAAAGATAAGAAAGTAATACAAGGTACAACGACATTATTTTCACCTCAGGGGAATTGCATTTAGCGTAGTAATAATCCGGTACAAAAGGAATTAGCTAAATTTAAGATGGCAGAATGCCTAAACTAACTTGATTCATTGGGGAATCATGAGGATTGAGGGTATTTTGGCAATTCCGGTGGCGTTGACAGAAAGTATTAAACCCTCTTTGTCTAATGTAAAAAGTAAGTAGTTTAAAGAAACTTCATAAAAAAGCCTTCTTCGATTACATTGTATATAACTGACACAGGCATGCCTAGGATTTTTGAGAATCAAGTATCAGAAATTATGATATTATAGTATTGATATTGTAGAAATATTAGAAAAATATGATTCATTTTATTCTGTATTTTCATTTATTTAAACCGTCTTGTGAAAATGCGCCCTTATTTTTGTTTTTATCCATTTAGTTGTCCTCCTATGTTGTTTGTATATCTGTTTAGGTTTGAACTGAACATATCGTAATCTTATTTATATATAATCACTGAAAGGCCCCAATGCCGTTTTCGGAAGCGAAACAAACTTAATAGTGAAGAAAATATCTAGTTTTGGCAGAAGTCGATAGCAACACCTACAGACGCGTAGATTTTCCGAAACAATTCAAGTCATCGCGGTTAAGGAATAAAGAGGCGTTTTGTGTCTTTTTCTGATTCAATATAGTTTAGGATAGTGTATTTACGCGTCTGCAATTGCTGAAAGCTGCAAGATGCGAAACAGTGTATTTGTGACCTCCAATAGAATATTCGGTTTCCTTTCTTCTATAATAAATGTTTTTATGTCGTTAATATGATTGCCATTTAAATGTTAATGACGAAATAAATCAATAGTAGAATTCAGAATCTCCATCTAACTTTAGCGCTCAAAGTGGACATCGCGTACGTGCTGAAATTTTGTTGTGCATTTTTGTGCGGTGTGGTTTTCCAACGGCAAAATTAGCAATACAATATCATGTTGTGAATGAATGTGTAAAACGTGTCAGGATAATTTCAAAAAACCGCAAAAGGCCCATTTATCCGCACAAAACAATGAAATATAGCATTACGTTTGAAATATGTAATTCAGGTTACTTAGTGCGTGGAAATATTTTAATACGAAACGATTCGCATATCACTTTACATTACATGGGCCTATATTCTAAAAATAGATTTAATATCTCATAGAATATCTATCGGCCTATAATATTACTAGTTGGATTGATTTAAAGTAATATATACCCTATTATAGCTTTCGTGATTTTAATATTTCGTACATAACAACCATACTCGATAAAAGATGAATTAACTAAATCGTTACAAACCTCAAAGGGGGCATTGTTCGTTCATCTTATTGAATTCACTAGCGGTTGAAAACCTAAAATGAACGTGGTTGAAGTGGGTTTAAATTTGGCCACAGCACAATTAGATCGGTCCCCATGGCATTAGCATTGCTGTTAGTCGATGGTATTCTATAGCACTGTGGTACAATTCTCGTTTTTTTCGAAAAGATTCAGTGAAATATAACAATAAGTGACTTACAAAGTATTCAGCTTTCGTAATATTTACTTTATTTCAATAACGTATCGACGCCCTGACAAAGTGGGATTCGAGTTTAAGATATACAGCATGAAGACCACCCCAACATTTCCCATGAAGAAAATTGCCCATTTCTGAGACAACATCCCATATTCTATACCATTTCTCCTTTACATTATTTGAAGACGGTTCAAAACAAGTACCCTAATCAAAATGGAGTCGCTGTTTGTGTTACTCATGTTCATTTTCGTGTACGAAATGTCTATTATTGCGATAAAAAGTATTAAATCATATACGAAGCATGGTTTTTACATTTACGAGCTAAATTTAGCTCGTTAATAGCTACGGTTTTCGACTTTGTTTATTATTTACTGGTGGCATACCGTAGAGGTATAAAACCAAAGAGGCGATTCTTTGATTACATCATTTCAAGTCAAGCATGAAGTTAGGGTAAATTAAACCTGGGCGATGAAAGATTAATAATGTATCATCGCTTCGCTAAAGATAAACTGGGAAAATGCGTTGAGAAATCTCTCGGAAGGCTATTGTGAAAAAGGCACTCGCTACACTTGGATTGAACTCCAAGCAGAAAATCGCTTCAATTGCACATGAGAGGTCTTGGCGACGGACGGACTTAGACACAGATTTGGGGATTATCTCAAAGAGGAAAGATTTATAATTGTAATAAATATTAGAGCAGCACCTTCGTGTCGAAATGTTAAAATAATATTTTTCTCGGTAAGGTTTTTCAGACGTTTGAAATTTTGGTAAAAATGTGAAATCAAGGTTTTAAATTTGGTCCAAATTGCATTTGGTAAAATACTTTCTTCTATCTGTTGAGTATTTCTGACCCTCAAAATTCTCGATAGTGATTCAGAAAAGACATCTAGACGAACAAAACTTTTCGTATTTCATAAAATTTGATGAGATTGCAGAAGAAGATATAAGAATAATCTTATTGATAATCAAATATATTATTCTTCGCGGTCCATCACATGGGGATTTGAGGTTTGACATAGTTGACAGAACATTGTAGTAAAATAGTTTGCGCGATTTTATTGGTAAAATTTTGAGAATGTCGAACTTAGAGAATTCAAAGATTAATTTGAAGAAAATAGAAATGTAACATATTAGGTAGAGTGATAAATATTGTCGATTCAATCATGAAATGTAACGTTTGTATATGCAATTTTGGTCTCGACTGGCACATGCACATATAGATATCTGGAAGATTCCTCCATCTTTTCTACTGTCAGAGTTTTCACATAAAACATCCTATAATTCCTCTTTAGCTTAAATTCAATTTTTAAATAAAATTCAACGCCAAAGATTTTTCGAAACTTCCTAGCGTTCTGTAAAGACGTGTGAGTTGCTTTTTATGTTCTAACTGAAGTAAATTCAGGATAAAAAGACTTATGGTATTGGTGTGTATATATATATATATATATATAGTGTCGGCTGGTTGTAGATATTACCTGACTGACTAACAAGATAAAAAAGAAAAAAGCATAACTGTCATTGCTCAAAAAAATTACAGAGCATTGAACAAAAAAAATATTCCCTACGTATATATATTACTGAATACGGATGTATTTATCAAAGTGTAGAAGTCCTCCGCTGTTCGACTTATGCAACAAAATCTTTCAAATTCTGTGTAATAGAATACTCTGCGTTTGAATGTTAGCTCGTTGGCACATGTAGTACTATTGCAGCTTATGAAAAAACGGATTAGAATAAACGGTCTTCACGGCGGATTTCACGTTTATGAAAAATATAGCGTGCAGAAGCTTTTATGAAAACATCCGCAACTAATATCATGAATTATTATCTTATCTTTGGTGTTATCTAATGATAAAATCAAAATTGATGTTTGTATTGTTGGAAGTCGCAATGTTACTGAGACTGTTAGCACGCGAAAGTTGTCAAATATTGTATATTGAATTGTGGTTTTATGCTGCAATTACAAAATAATGATAATGATAAATGAATGTGGCGCTGATAAACACAATTATTAAAATCCCATGAGGACATATCAAGTATCAAGATTATCGTAGTAGGATTATCACAAATATTGTATTTTTTTGAATCATATAAATAATATAATCAAATACATTATTGAAAACTTTATAAATATTTTTAGATTTATAATGACTTCAAATAAAGATTTATCAGTGAAGATTCATGTTTTATCAATTTTTATCTGCGTGACAAATATTATACAAGTAGCATTATCAGCGGGAGGAGATGATTTTCTTCAAGTTGCTATGCATGTAAGTTAACATATTCATTATTTGTCAACCTTCTTACTTTCCTTTATATGTAAAAGCCTAAACACGCGAGTAAATTTTACAATTAAAGTGAAATGTAATACATATCCATTTATTACTTCGTAAATTTACACTTTTCAAAATGGCTTCCAGTTTCACAGAACGATAAATAAGTACTTACTACCACAATACACTGTTATGAATTTTTTATATTATCTTTCGGTGTGCTAATGATATTTTGCGGTACAAGATAAGAAATTCTGCACTATTATGACAATATAGATCCAACCCAAGAACAAGTAGTGTGGATTGAACAGTTTATCTTTGAAATACCATCAGTGTTAGTGAATGAAGTTTTCTTTGTTGGGCAACATTTATTTTAATCCTTCTGTATGACCTAAAGCCATGAGGTTCTGTAGTGTTTATGTTTGAATATGTTAAACTAACATAGTTTTATTGTGTGTCAGGTATAAACAAGCTGTATTTATATCTGGTCCATTTCACATAAAAAAATTGCCAAAAATGTAATTTCTATTTATTACGAAATTCAGGATCGATGCAATGAAGACGATTTAAATTGCGGGTTGCCGGTAGAATGCTGTTGCAAACCAACTCACAATTTTAATTTCAAAGTTTCACGTAAGTTTCACTTGATTACTTTTTAGAGAACAAAACGAATTTATTACAACTTTGTTTAAACCAAAGCGCAGTATGTCCGGCACTGTTGAAATATCACAACATCAAAAATAAAATCTGCCTTTAAATTACTCAAAATTTTAGGAGCAGAGACTATTTTTATCGTTGCTACATAGGCTACAATGAAATGAGAAATTATTAATTCCAAGTGTAAAAAACATACAAAAATGTTGTTGCATTTTGTATACGATCAACTAAGTACTCTAAGTATCGGAAATTTTAAATATACGTTTAATATAATTTGCGATTTAACCGATAACCGAAGGTTATTCAAACAAACTCGGGGTAATTGTTGCAAACTCAGCTTATTCACGATCGAAAAATTTGCATTCAAGGAATATATTTCATAACACATATTGGACCTCAACTTGTATACATCACGATATATCCGAGAAAATATAAAGGCATGTTGGGGGCATATTCAATTAAAAGAAACCAATGTTTTTTGAAATTTTGAGAAACATACCAGGAAAGTTGTGAAATTATTTATATCGAAATTTGAGGTACCAAGTTCATACGCCGGATACACAGCATTTTAACATCGGTTAGAATCGCTAAAATCGTCGTTTATTCTAATTTTTTTTTATATGAGCCGACATCTCTTGACAGGGCAGGACTCCTAAACTTGTCCCAAGGGCGACATAGAGTCTCATTTTCATTACGTCATATTTGTACGATGGGATACCGAAACCTAAAAGTTCCAACGACTTGTTTACACTGTCTTGAGATATAAAAAGTATTATAAATTTTTTTTCTTGCAGAAAAAACGTTTTCTCGCAACTTCGGCATCAAAATGGATGCAAAACAACGCTGTATGGGGGATATTTTTATGACCTATAGCGTGGCATCGACTTCCTCATCTTTCCCGTGTTATTTATGAGCATGGTTGTTGATGCATCATTGTTTTTAATCACCCAGTTTATGCTTTAAAAGTAGTCGATATTTTACCGAATTTAACTTTTTTTTACTGGATGAATAAATTCATTATGCATCCTACTTTATCGAACAACCACGTCATCAAAAACAAGCCAGGTCACATTATTTACGCTTCCGTTGTTGTCGCAGATTAAAGCTAATCAACAACCAAACAGAACAAAAAATGTAAACATAAAAATACAAGCATACATGTTTCACACTTAACAATAAACGGACGCGTGCATAATTTTCTAATAAAACCACACCAGTAACATTCAACTAGCGTGGAATGTCCTCTAAATCATAGAATATTTACCAAAACATGTCATAAAACGTCATTAGTTTAAAATAATGACCAGCAATGTGTAATCGTGACTAAGATCGAGTTCAGTGGTCTAGTTTTTGTTGTTACTTGAACCATTAAATACATAGTGACAAAAGTGTCTAGACTACAGTTGGAAAACAAGTTTAAAATTAGCGATGCAATTATCTAATTAGTCATATAACATGTATAATCAGTTAATTAATTAATTGAACCAATATATTTTTGATATTCATATGGGCGAAACTGCTAATTTATTAAATACACTTTTAAAAACTTGGTATTTTTGACCAAAACGGAACGCGACTTCCTAAGGTTTATTTAGCTAAACAACAGTAAAACTAAGGCATTTTTTACTTATTTTTATTTAAGTTTTTTGGTTTTAATCCATTCATTTAGTTGAATTGAGTAAATGCCATACCCCTAGACTCGACATTAATATCGTAATAAAATGGAGGGAAGAGATGTAAATTATTATATTAAGGTCTGGGCCAACTTAATGCAATGCATCTCAATTTATGATGTTGAACGTATAGTTAGGATAAACACAAAGAGTTTGGATCATGGTCCAACTTTCTAACAAGTATAGTGTATTAAAATCGATGAATATTTTTGAACACAAAGTACCTCAGTTTCTGTTAAAATCTATATTTTTTTAGTCGGCAACGATACAAACGATGACAAGTTCCCCGTCCAAGTTTTGTGCGTGAACGCAACTGAAGTTCCTAGCAAGTTACCAAAAGTAACAGAAACATTGTGAGTACCATACTGATATATTAATAGTAAAACTCAACAGTTGCCATGTATAATTTAATAAACTGGCATGTGTAGCAAATTATTATTAAAATCGGATTTTGGTTAGCTAATTAAACAGACAGGAAGTATATAAACTTCCAAAGTAGATTTTAATATTTCAGTGAAAATTGGTGGCAAACCTACAGTTTCTATATTAGTCATATTTAGTTGTTTATTGAAATTTCAATTTAGTATTTAACAATATTTGAGATTAACCGTGTCGGTAGGAGTGTTTATTTTTTATTTATTTTTCTGTTTTTCGTGACAACATTTTTACACAATTACACAACAAACTTGATCGAGTATTAGGCCTTAGGCAAAACAAAACACAAAGGAGTTTATAATATTCGAAAATACATGTCATTAATAGCTTATATTGATAGAAATTTAATAACTTGGGTCAAGCGGATTTTCTTTTAAAACGTGGTTGTGGCTTTAGGTTTTGTTAAAAACAACATACCATTAGGCAAATAACTTCATAATAACGTCAAATTTCGTCATTGATTTTCTGCATTTCTGATTTAACTGCTGGTGTCAATGATGATTATTCGTTTTTTTTGCGAATTACTAATATGCTAGCAACGCTCGAGTCTATTTTGCATTTACAATATTAATGACGCAATACCAATAACTTCTTTAGTGTAAAATGTTGTCGTCCAGTATTTTCTTCTCGACTCGTCAAAAAACTATTTGCAAGTTCGTTTTCAAGTCGACTCGAGTTCAAAACTTGATTCCGCACAGGTATAAGCATAGTTTTCAACAAGTTGGTATATATACTTGTAAGTGGCTTTATAATTTATGATTGTATACGTTAGTGGTTCCTAATCCTTCGCCGAGACGGTTAAATTGGCGCCATGACATGCAAATTTCCTCCATACCGTTAAGTAGGCCTTGATGACAAACGACCTAAACTTTTTATCATTTTGACATGTGACCAATGCCATCGTTTCCACTGGGAGGTCCTGTTTGTTTAAGGTTATTATATTAGTCGTATAATACTGAAAATCCCACTGATTATATGCCCGCAATAAGGCCCTCCGGGAACGACCTCCGCACGGGAACTAATTCACTTGGGCATACAGATGTATTTATATATTTATAGAACTACTTTAAACCTCGCGTTGACAGAAATCATAACTTGGAAGAAGTCGAGAGTAATGACAGAATAGAATGAACAGATTTTTCAATGACGTAGTGGTACAGGTTGTGACGCCTCTATGTTATGTCAATTCAAACAACCAATTTTATTGGAAAATAAAACTTAGCATATGGGCGCCATGGACCAAATATAAACGCACTTCGAAGACTCGTTCGTTGAGCAACTGAATATTCCCAACGTTTGTCCCAGGCATGTTTAAGCATAGAATTATTAACATCAGAACCGCGATTGATCAGTTGTCTACCTGATGCCAATTTTAAATGTCGCGATGATATGTTCACCTCAAATCAAAGAGTGTTTGATATACGAACTGAACATGCAATTTCCCGCTTGCCTTCACCTCAATTTAATATTGGTTTGTTCACTCACTGACATTGCATGATATATGATATAAAGTTTTCATTCAAGAAATGAGACTGTTAAAATGTACAATATCACATTACTTCATTAGGATACAGAATTAATAGCGGTCGAAATAGGATATGAATTGCATCTTCTAGTAATATTAAACAAGCCTTAAGTTTAGATTAAAAAAATCAATCGAGAAATTGATTCTTGAAGAAAATAACCTATTTAATTCTTTTTAGATAAACTATGCAAATTTAGAGCACTTTTGATATGAACGTTGGCCAAGTATAGTTTCTCCCAAATTTGAAGCAAATTCAACTAAATATTTTATCCAAATTAAATCGAACAAAACTTACGATTTACGTATGATCGTTCCTTATTCGCCAATGAAACATATTTGTGTATTATTTAATAAAAAAACGTCATCTAATTTTTCAAAATATTCTTCCAAAAATTATTTTTAACCATGCATGGTTTGTGGGACGACCGTGTTGCCATGGTACCGTTTAGTTATAAATCATATATGGTCGAATTCCATTTGAAAATATATCACCTCTTCTACCTTTTAATCGATTATTTTAATATTTAAACCGGAATCCGATAAATAATTGATTATCTGGATTACTTAATTTATTTACTTTGTTTGTCTGTTTATATTCATGACACAGACAAAAATTAATAGAGAAATATTGATTAATGGAATATTTGGTTTTGTTTTAGTAAACTTCTACAGACCGATATATCAGTATTTTCTCAAGGAAGCTTTCCAGACTCGAACACGTTGAAGAATTTATCCACAATGTAAGTAGAGAAATATTTAGTCCGAATTTCATATCAACAAGCAGTCAAAATGCATTCAAATCAGATATTTTGATTGATGCCATGATATATATATATATATATATACCACGACTTAATTTATAACAGCTAACTGTTAAAGTGAGCCTAGTACTAAGATTGCGAGTATTTGTACTGATGTATCAGTGACATTGAACGCATTCACGAATTTCAATCAAGAAATATTAGATAATTTTAAACGAAACTCACAAAATATTTGCAATAGAAATTAAATATTTGGAATTCTAAAGTGATTTTCATGACGCGATTTGAGGTAAATTAATGGAAATGATAAGTACCAGCTTGCCACGATTTTAGTACACATGTACTGGCTGGGAAAATAATTTCATTCTCCTTGGAGTTTTATTTTATAGGAATTTGTCACATATTTCGACACAGAGATCTTTTCAAATTTGTTCCGTCTAATCGTATGGTAGTTGGTTTATTATGCTGTCCCAAGCTAACTAATAAGATTACACTCAGAGAAATATCAGAAACTACATTTGAAAAGCTTCAAATAAATTATAAATGCGCCAATAAACTTTAAGTGATCACGGGGTTGGAAGGTTCTTCAGAATAAATTTAGATTTAATTTCAGAGATTGATATTTGGGATTTCATCGTAGTTCAACTTGCTCTTTGAATGAGCTGTATTCAGTGTGTAACAATGCCGGTTTTCAACAAATTTCAAATCATCCGATGCCGTGATTTTCCTAATTTCATAATGTTCGACTATGTATAAATTACACAATACAACTTAACACATATAGACTCTCTGAGTCCAAGGCAGGCGTAAGACAACTACAAGCCTTTTTTTACGTCCCGAGGAACCGATTCTACAAATAATCATAATTAAATCAAACAGCAAGTAATATCAAAACAAGTGAGATAGGAAACCCACTGAAAATCTTATTACATATTTATAATTTATATTAGTAGACCAATGATGAATAGATAATCGTTGAAATACAAAATATTGGAATTCGAACTCACAAGGGAATATTCGTTTTTCCCAAAATACTTCATTTGGTGTGTTTGACTGTCTTAAGTAAGTACATCATTAGGCCAATCATGGTTACTGTCACGAGCGAGGTTCAAAGGCACTAAGGCATGCATAATACTTAACTACGGGATTATATGACCGTAGATATACGTGTTAAAAGTTTAAATTGTATTTTTGAATTTTCAGATATATTTGGAAGAATTCCAAACTACGAGAAATCCAAAATTTTGCGTTTTTCGGATACGAAAGTCTTTCAACTATGTAAGTACAACACTTAATTTATTACTTATAAATCTTTTTGCCTAAACGCGCGAAGCGAACTTTTTTGATATCGTGATATAATATTCAAGATTCCTGTAATAATATTGTTCGTGGTATTGAGGGAGAAATAGACTAATCTGGAGCGAGCAACATTTAGAGGTTATATCTGTTTATTGGATGGCATAATGGTTGACAGAAGGTTGTATTTATACGTAAGGCCAAGTTTAGTCTTTTGTTAAAAAACAAGATGTCCCTAAAATAATATGTTGTACATTCAAAAACAATAAGGACAAAAGATGAAAATCATGATGTGTATTATTATTTAGAAAAACTTTCTTTAAAGCTTGATCACGAACACTCGCTCAAAATTGAATTCCAGCAGGATATTTAGAATAAAGGGCTGAATCATAAATGAAGTCAATAATTTCCAGAAACCATATAACTACGTTTATCAAACAATAAGATTAGGATTACAGTTCATCTATAATCCAGAATCTATTCAAGTTTATCATTTACTGTAAGCTGCGTCACATTTCAATCTGTCCACACTAATTACGTTCGAACGAAGTTGACGCAGAAAAACAAACATATGACGCCATGGATTTTTTCCCTATTTGTGTATTAATTAGTTCATTGAGAAAAGGTGTGCAACCCAAAATAGTAGATGACACCAGGGCTCCGGATACAAAACAAACAACTCTTAATGTTGTGAGTTGACGTGGACAGATGCTACGCAAATACCTTACCCATTTACGTACGCCACGCACAAAACATTATCAGCTATCAGTCACCAAAAAGTAATCACAAACGTTTTCACCTGTCAACTGGTCAAGCAGTTTCGAATTTGCATAGCGTCTAGCGCGCTTGCGTCGCGCGTAATGGGTGAGAAAATATGGATTGTTCTAATTCGCTACATCCAGCCCAGTGAAATGACGTATTAAAACTATTACATTTCAATTTATATTACTTACATCACAGTACACGTGACTATTCAGTTATTACAGTAGCTTAATGTTGTGCAGTTACGCCAAATGTTGACTATTTTAATCTGTATAAATACAATCTCCAAATAATCATAATATATAAATTGTGTACCACGAATCAGTTTGCGAAGCCTGATGTAGGAGAGAAAATTTGAGACTGTTGTTTGGTAGACTGTAGAGCAGGTCTCAAGACCCACAGTATGTTACGTCGTTACGAAAGTCAAATCGGTGGGACTAGTGTAGGTTACCGGCATTGTTTGTTCCAAATTCTCAAATTTCGTTCCTTCGTTGATCTTCCTCTCGGATTAATACACTAATAACCAGTGGTGAAATTCAAATTTTTCGTCAGCCGTTTCCTTTACAAAAATCATATTTTTCAGCAGGTTCTGTTACAAAAAGAAAATTGACAGTAACCAGTAATGCTAACCGGTTCGCTAATCTTAAAAAATTCCGTAAGGCATTTCTATAGAACAGGTGCAAATCTGTGAATCCCACCACTGCTAATAACATTTGTAAGCAAAAGCAAATCACTAAAATTCCTAACGGACGAAAAGAGTTGCAGCCTGCGCTAGCTGGAGTTTAGTTGCGTTACCGCGCAAATCCTAAATGAATATTTTTTGCCACGCATGAGTAATTACAACTATTATAAACAGGGGTAATTTTGAACACGAATATTCAATAACAAGGATTTTGAGTAAAATTTTTCAACAGTTAAAATCACTCCTTAAAATCATCATAGTCAGCGTCTCTCTTCGGAATTAGTTAGAATATTTGTCAGACTAATATGGGCGCTCTCCCGGAGGAAAACAGGCTTTGTAGCCTGTAACTGTTCCATTTGCATTTTATATTTAGATAGTCTTATGATTTTTAAAAAGCGCAAATCTCAAAAATGAATCATACCAAATATATAACGTATGGGTGTTTAAAGAAAGCATTAACATACGTTCACATATTTCCTTTTGTTGTGAAAGAAAAATATATCATTCACCATCAATATTTTTCACTCATTACATCGATTAAGAAATATTTTGAATAAGACAGATAACTTGAACATCGGGGTATAATTTTTCTAGTTTCTGGTGTTTGTTAATCGTTTGGTTTCATGTTGTACATTGTTTTTCACGTTCTTTAAACGATATAAAGTAGTGATGGTCAGTAAAAACAAAATGGCAGAGTTTGCGTTTAATGATTGATGATAATACTGGTCATTTTACGCATGTAAACATTATTTATCATCACCATTTGATCGAAAACTGGTGAAATGAAACGTTTTTTAGAAAACAGTAACTATAACCAAATATTTTATATTATTATATTATTTTCTATACTGATAATTTTATTGATTACATGCGATAGTGCATGTCATACAAGTAAATTGATTTCCATATAAAAATTAGTAACAATGGGACATTTTTTCTAAATGACGTCACGTGACCACGACAAGGGTGGCGTGAACAATCAGATTAAGAAAAGCTCATTAGAGTAAAATGCGGACAAAAACGAATTTTTCCCGCGATATTATCAAAAAAATTTCGCACTTTGAGGCGACTTAAAAGACGCTTATACAAAACAAAATATTATCTTCTGGCTATCAGAATTGGGCTACACTTAAATCATGCTGATGCAGATTATTGTATATATTGCCCATAGTTGAGCAGAGGTGTGAAGTAGATTTGATATTGGTTTAGGTAATCATTCATGCGTAAAATCAGTAAACCAAATATGTTTACAAAATATCACAGGCGTGAAAATTGATTCCCTGTTGTGCTCGTTTGTCAAAATGATACCAATTTTTCACCTTGTCATATATTTGACTAATTGTCAGATTTTCATTTTTACAAATGTTACAAACTTTTAACCTGACACAATACTTAAAATATACGTTATTCAAACGATATCGGAACTAGAACATTGATCCTTGATTCGAGATTTGTTTAACGCATAATCATTGTATATGCAAAAATATATGAGAAAATTGAAAAAAGAATAATCGAATCTTATAGTTAAAACTGCAAAAATGCTAACAACTCTAATATTGCCTGTAGCCACCAGAAGGGTAAATGAAACATCAAATTGTATATACAGTTGGAGTAAGTCTAAGTTATCTAAACTAATGAAAAATCGAGTGTTAATGTCTCCTCATATTTCCGATTTTCTCGCACAAGTTTATTTATAATAGCTTTGATAAAAATTGTGACTCAGTGATCAAAATTTAGAAAATGACATCCTTGATAGAAAATGTATGGAACATAGTTATCCCATGCTAAAGTATGTTGTTTCATCACGGCCCCATACCAGACCAACATATTGTTGCGGTACACCACTAATTTTAATAAAACAGCGAGTCCTTTTCAACGCTTAGGAATTAGTCATTGGTGACAAAATCGGAAAAGCTTTGAAGGTCAGACATAGGCCATAACACAGCCGTCTGTGTCCTTTTGCCTGCTGCGAAAACGTCGCAAATTTTTTATTAACCCCCACCTATGCCCTCAACTCTTGTCTGTCATAACTTTTTAATTTTATCAACATCTAAGATTTGATAAGATAACTGACGACATCGTTTCACTTATATGATTCCCGGTTCTCCCTTTTGGTTAGTTTCATTTTCAACATTTTTTGTCCGATTGGTAGGTAGTAAGCAAAACCACGAAATATCTCGAATGATATAACACATGTTTGTGCGCATCAAAAAGTATCTTAATTAAATTTTTGCCTCACTTTTCTTTGAAGTTTTTAGTGGTACCTTTGTATTCGATCACTTCACAACAAAACGAATGATTTAAATCTCTGAACATCGTCATACTTTACTTCAAAACGTTGAAGCTTTTACGATTTTCATTAGTAATTGCACTATCCTGACAGTTTCAATTGTATCCAATGCTGATAATTACTACAAAATAGAGAAAAAACACTGATGAGCTGTTTTTTCATAATAGTTTTATCTTAAAATCATTAAAGCGGAATTGTTAGTTATGTTTACAGTAGCCGTCAGCACCGTGCTTGAAACATCTGGCCGCAAGATCGGGTGCATAAACAAAGTGATCGGAACAGGACAAAAACCGTTATGGTTTAATTCTTTTGTTATCTTTGAAATTAATATTATGAAAAAAAAACGAAACAAAATAGAGCTTACGTATTCCATTTAATTGTTGTTTTCAGCAAAAAATCAAATAGTACAACGACGTCATGCCTCAAAAGCTGAATTTGCGGATTTCCAGATTTATTTATTATATTCACTTACTGAATGTAAGGTATTAATCAATTACAAAAGTAATGAGGCGAATTATACGGACACATATTTTTATGCGTCGACCAGAAGTATTAGATGAACCATGTTATGCTTAAAAGTACATAAAATCTGTTAGCATTTTGAGTCTATTAATTAAAGCTAGCTCGTTGAATTAACAGAAATATATATAGGCAAGTAATGCGAATGAAAAAATAATATGATCTATCATTCTGGTAAATGTCTGTACAACATTTTCAAAAATTAACGTTTGTATTCTACAACTTTTTCGAAATGTATCTCATGAGCTTAGGAGCGTAAAATATTATCTGTATAGTATTAGTAATGAAATGAGTTTTAGAATATCTTTTTTGTTTTGGCTTATGATTTTTAATGGAAATACTGAGAGGTTCCACATTTTCTCCCCAAGTATTTTTCACTTTGATAAAACATCAGTGAAATATATGTAATACAGAGATGACGTTATGACAACGATTTAATTACAAAGATATCATGGCTCACAATACGAGGAAATCTGAATTCCTGTCGGATTCACCGGACACGTGTTATCTAAAACAGGATTTATACGCATTTTGTTTACCTCACATCGAAATAAACGTATCATGATTTAGGACAAAAATATAAATTCAGAGACTTTCAAAGATTTTCCTTTTTATTTGCTAAACCTAATACTTTTGAGTTAGCCCTCGAGAGCTAATTCACTCCGAATTAGGATGAATATGGTATATAAGCAGAAACGATGATTAATAACAAGTCATTCCATCAATCGTGAACATTTGAACTAAAAATAATCTTTCGAACTTGAAAATACCGAGCTATATTTTTATTTCGCAGCTAATCTAATGATTTTTTTCTTATTTGCTAAATCCAATACTATATAAGCACACGAGTGTTAATTCACATCGAATTAATATTTATACTGGAGATAAGCAGAAATTCTGGTTAATGGTAATTTTATGTATTTTTTAATTTATGTATCATGAATACTTAAACTAAAAAATACTCTTAAAATGGGGAATATCAAACTACATTTTTGTTCTATTTTCAGAATATTGGAAGATTTACCTGAGCTAAAAGTAATCGAACAACATGCATTTTCAAATCTGCCAAGTTTACGATTATTGTAAGTGCTGCTAAACTTTTTAAATGTTGTATACCATTCTCCCGATTTTTAAAGTTGCGGTGACATCAGTCGGGTTAAAGATCAATATTGAATATGTATACAAAAACAAAAAAAAAATTGAAAATCTGAATATCGATATCAATAAAATACAAAATTTTTACATTATTTTGTTAATTTTTACCAAATTTGGACTGCTGAAAAATCATAACTTAAACTTCCACCATCGCTGAAAACGAATTGTAGGAATAAAACCGATTTTTCAACTTCTTGCTAGCAGACCTTTTACCCCATTAATCGGTGATCTTCACAGATAAGTATTTAAAAGGAGGAAGAACATCACATTTTACAGAATCAAAAATTTTGAGTTTGCAGAATCTAATTCGTTATTTAACGTCAGATCGATTTTAATGTGATCTATCTTGTGTAAACATTTGTAAAATTGTAATCTGAATGTCCTGAATAATTAAAGACTTTGAACTTGAGACGATTGAAAAGATTAAAAGCCCGGAATACTAAGCATGCAGTTTTGGTATACAGTTGTAAATGCTACAGCATTTTGGTCCATGTAAATATTTTTTTTAGAACAACACGTGACAAAAACCGATGACGTCATGTTTTAATATATAGGTATACTGATAAAAAAATATAAACCAATCAAAATTGTAACTATATGATTAAGGCACTTAATCTACATGTTATGAGAACTTATTTTATTTGGCCCAAATATCTTTTTTTCATTTCAGAAAATTGAAACATGTTGGATTAACAATAATACCCTCATTTACTGGCTTAGCTTCATCATCATTGATTCCTCTGGAAATGTAAGTATATTCTTCTTTATATTTATATAATGCTGAATGAATTGCAGAATATCAATATTTTCTTGGGGCAATACCCTTTATATCTAACCAAGTATAAAGCTAACATGAAATATTTGATTAGGAACAAATACTCAATGAAAAGCTGCAATTTTTTTCTATATTTTTTTTAATAAATGTTTTCGTAGAACGCCAAAATGTTGGGCGCAAACCGTTTCAATCCGAATTACGTGAATACCGTTCAAAACTAGTGAAACTCTTTAGATTCTATATTCTCAGAGAGTGCTCCTTTTAGAGTCATGGTATTGATAAATTGTGGCTTTTGACTCGAAATATTTCTACGGATAATGTCGCGACAAAAACAGACGAAAACACATAAATACGGTTTCAATTTCTTTTCAACTTCAATATTGCCAACATTTAGCGCCCTTTGTCAGTGAACCATTTTATGCCTTTCAAATAATGCTAACGTGACAAGCTAAGTTTTTTTTTTACATTTTCCGTTTAAAAATATATTCAAACTAATATTGTTGACTGCACTTTCAATGAGGTCAATGTTTAAGGCAAGGTTCGAATTTGAAAGCACTGACTTGCGGTGGTTAAAATAACACGTCTATCAATCAATTTGCATTTTAACATAGAATTTCCACACCTTCAATAAAATCACAATTATTTTTCTAACCAATTGCTTAGATGAGAAATTTAAATCTCTTATTATTGCTGAAAATTTGATACAAAATTGGCTTTTGTTTTTATCCTAAGATACGTTTTTTTGAGAAATCTGTTTTTTTTTAAGGTTGTGGTTTTTTTGCCGCAAATTTCCCAGTCATTCATATAGACATTTGGTTATATGCTTAATTGGTCGATAAATAATCGTAATATACCTAAACGTCTTTTTCGAAGAGAGGATAAAATCTGCATTGCGTATATGTTAATAACGTTCAAATCTGTTGAAGCATCAGTCTTTATTTTAAATTTCAAATGTTTATGCCTGGATCCGCATATTCAAAAAATATTGATAATTATTTAGTATATATATATATTGAATTATATTTTATTTTGTGCAATCTGTAATTTTTTGTGTTAATATATATTTTTTATTTTTTACAGCATTTTGGAAAATACTCAAATCTCCCAAGTCATTTCCGGAGCGTTTCAATCACTACCAGTCCGGATTAAAATAGTGTACGTTTATTTATTATTATAATTATTCTAATGCTTTACTGTTTTTCATATTTATAACACCAATATTTATTATTCTTAATGCGATGTCCGTAGTATTTAGAACGCCATCGCTTGTAAAAATGCCTCACAAATATGTTAATTATTCTTGAATGGACGTAAATCTAATTCCGAGAAATCAGGTCAAAATTTAAAAACAATTGGCCTTTGGCTCTTTGGTGTGTTGAATAAAATACACTGGAATGTTACATCTTCGTGTTCGGTGTTAGTAAAAGATCCAAAGTACATGGAAAATTACTTCAAGCTGTGATATAAGTCACACCTCGGAGTTATTCATATTTTATATCTGTGAAGTCTCACAAGGCCACGGCTTCAGTCCGATACTTTTGGGAGAATTGATTGATAAAAATGATAAACACGAACATGACACGACCTGAACCTTCTGCCTTTAATTGCCAAGCGTGTAAAATGTCGATTTAAAGATATAGGCAGAGCTTTCTGTAGCATATAATGCGATTAACTTTAGAGTATTTGCCTGGATTTTATTGTAAAAGATAATGTACATATATTCATCACATGTTATTTAAATAAGTTACAAAGTGTGCAGAATTGTAAAGTTTCACAGTTTAATGAAGGTAAATTGAATAAATCAAACTCAAATTTGGGAAAACATAAAATGGCGCCAATGAATAGTCATGTTAAAGATTATTTTCATGGGTAAACAGACTAATGGTTTTTACAACTGAAGCATTATTCGAAAAATTATTTTTTATTTTTTATTCATCAGTTAAATATGTATTGACTTATTTTAGCTAAGTTAAGCTAATAAAGTCTTCATTGTTGTTCATTCCATCTTCAAACAAATTTAACTAGCCTTTAGTCGCCTTTTGTACTTGATGACTGAAATTAAATAATTTTTGTAGAGTTTTACTAGAACTCAATTAATGTTGTCTCTGTGTTGGCAAAATTCATAAAAAATCCCTGAAGTTTGTATATATATGTATTGCTCAAAATATATCTACACTCATTAATTAAAGGCATTTTATCTCATCCGTGTCAATCGTCATATTTTGTTAAATTAACAAGTTGGTACCTCGCCAAATCCCTGAAAATCATAAACCATCTCAAATGAGACTAGATCGATCTAAGATAGACAAGAAAATTAAGGAATTAGTATACCAATCATTGATTTTACTTTCAGTCAGCTGTCATGGAATTTACATCTTACAACCATCAACGACTTTGCATTTAATGGAAGCTCTATAGCTCAACTGTAAGTATTCACCTGATATTTATTACACTCGATAACGTAAAAGACCTTAACCTACCAAGTCAGGCCCATCTGATGCCTGATGCTTGATTTAGCATATTTGATACCATGCCTACGTCACACTTGTCAAAACTATTCCCAGCGAGAGTTTAAAATTAACCCCGAATTGGACAGGTCGCTGGTGCTAATCTGTCTAAATGTATTAGTCAATCAACTCCCTTTAATTTTTGTCCATAATCCTTAAAGGTACTGTGGGTCAAACGCAATAAACCATCAACTCGAAGATTATAATTGATATGATGCGAAATATTGATCAAAATAGGAAAATATGAAATCGAGATTCGTGACGATAAACAAAAATCTTGTTTACGGGAAATTTTAGTTTAGTTCCATATATACCAACAGTACTAAAAATGTAACTTTTCGCAGAAACCTCAACGACAACAAACAGCTGACTTCACTAGCGCCCAGAGCTTTCCATGGGATGAAAAACCTCGAAAATTTGTGAGTAAAATACTGGTGAACAGATATGATTTGATTGGCAATGTTGATACTTTTTATCATATAAAGTTCTACGAGTATCTTGTTTGTTTAAATTCGGCGAATAAAGATAAACCCCCATTTTTTGACAGTTAACCGTTAGAAAGCAAAATTCAATCGTGTTGATATATATATATTTAAATTCTACTTCAGAATTTTACGCGGAACATCGATTTCCACCCTACCCACGAACGATCTCAAGACATTGATAGAAATAGACGTGCGAAGGACTCCTCTTTTGCATCGATTCCCAGCAGCGCAAGAATTGCCCTCTCTCCGGGTCGCCTGGCTCACTTATACGTATCATTGCTGCTCACTGAATGCATATGGATTTGGTTCTGTATTCAATAAAAATACAAACGAAAATACTCAAGACTTGAGACCATGCGGTTCTTCAAAAGCAAATGCGGTAAGTTTTACGATAATAAAAGATCTGTGCGCACGAAATTTCAATTGATGCCGTTAAGTCGTTTTTTATCCATTCGTTACGATAAAAAGTTTCCATTTATGCTTCTAGTGTCAGTAAATCATATTGCTATAATATTGCTGCTGGACCTGACCTTTGGCTTTTTGGTTGTGATTTAAAAGCGTAAAACAAAACGTTCATAGTCAACTGGAACAATTACATTGAAATTATTGAACGAATTATAATTAGCATCGGAGGAAATATAAAGCTTAGAAAAGCACCCCGCAAAACATATAAATGTACGAAATATATATATATACAATATTTCATGTTATGAAAGAGTACCTAATAGGATACTTAATTTGATGCTACAATGTAGTATCTTTGGCTTTTGGGATTCCAGTGTGTCAGATATTAAACTTATGCACCAATATAGCGCATGCGGAAAACTTTAGGGAAAGGAATTTTCTCATGTCAAGCGTTTAACGCGGTACCACCATAAATTCTATTTTTGCCTTATAATTTGTTATTCACGGCGGATACAAATAGTGATTTGGAGAAATATTAATAATCAAATAATCTATCTTCTTTTTGGTTAATACCATACTCTTTCCTGTTTATTATGACTAGGGAAATGCTTAATAATTAATGAGTGATATTCCTCCTCTAACCTTAATAAGAGTCACTACAATCCAATCGCGCAATTTGTGATTAAAATGAACTTTTCAGAACACCACAATTACCGACATTCCCGACAAAGACAAAATGGAAAACATCACATCCGGTCACATATTTCCGGATTTTCCAGGTGGAAAAGAGGTATATGATTTTTTTAAATCAGGTTTGAACAAGACTATTTATAACTGTGCTTACAGGTACTCGAGACACCAGAAAAAGAAATAGAATTTATTTTCTGGAGCGTATCATTTAATGAGACTAGTGTTTACGATTTAAATACCACTTAGGGCATAGCAAAGACATTTTATCAATAATTTAAAATTAATATTATCTAGCAAAAAGGGATAGATTTATCATTAGCATAACAAGAATTTATTTTTCCTAATTAATAGAAGCGTATTCAGAGAATATTAGTAAAAGAACACAAAAGTGATTGAGGAGTTAAATATAAAGTTATTCAACACCTCAATATATTACTCTTCATTTTCACCATTCAAAACATATGGAAACTATTCTGGTCAGCACAATTTTAATCTAAGAAATAAACAAATGACAAGCTGCTTTAGTATGAAATTTAGCCAATGTTCTAAAGTATTTTGTAAATTTTCAGGATGTTTATGATCTCGACTGGGAGAACTACACTTTACCAAGTTACGTTCATCCGGTAGTTTACGATGGAGAGTATGTTTCTGCATATCACGAAAATGAAGACCCAGAAGCCTATGATGGACGATCTTCATTCTTACAAAGAATTTACTATCAGGCTTCAATGGAAGGCAGTTGGGAAGATGACTACGAAACATCTACGGGAGCTATTGCTGCCAACGAGATCGGAGGTTGGCGAGAAAGGTGAGAGAATAATAGACCAATTTGATGATCTAACTTTGGAACGAATTGACCTTATTTAACCAAGAAAATTTGAAGCATATTCCAGCAGTATTAATATTAAAATACGACATAACAAATCTCATCATATTATTCGCTTACCTAAGACTGCCTACATTCCATTCTGTGAATCACTTGTTATTCATTCCTATTTCAGTGCTAATGTGCCAACAGACGCAACCCGCGTTGTGGATTCAATTGAGCTATGCTACACAGTCGACGGGGTAGAATACCGAGCAGTATACCACACTCCCGTGAAATGTACACCAGAACCTGACGCGTTTAATCCATGCGAAAATGTTCTGGGAACAAGCGTACTACCAGCAATATCATGGATTGTGTCCGCGTTAGCAATAATTGGCAACTTCTTCGTGATATTGGTTCTGTCTGTGGTAACTTGTGACCGATCATGTGCTCGACAGCATCATCTATCGGTGCAAAAATTTCTTGTTCTTAATCTCGCTGTGGCAGATATGTGCATGGGAGTTTACCTCCTTATGGTGTCAAGCATGGACGCCAGAAGTTCGGGCGAGTACTATAAATATGGCGTAGAGTGGCAAACCGGAATAGGATGCAAAATATCTGGATTTTTGTCTATTTTCTCGTCGCAGCTCTCAGTCTACACCCTCAGTGTCATTTCATTGGAAAGATGGTGAGTTCTTTTTTTGTACCCAAATAATTTATGAAAATTTGGCGCATGGTTATAAAGTATCAAAAAGAATTTTTTTTCTGCAGGTATGCCATTCGATTCGCCATTCATTTAGATAAAAGAATGACAATGAGATGTGCAAGAGTGTGCATTTTCTTTGGATGGTTGGTAGCAGGTTTACTCGCCATTTTACCTCTCGTTGGAGTCAATAACTACGAGAAAACGAGCATCTGTTTGCCGTTTGATGTCAGCAAAACATCAGGTACACTAGTATTTATCGCCTTGGATTCATCATAGGAGGCTGCGTATAAATGGATAACTTAAAAATAATCTGTTATGTGTAAGATATATCCTTTCTGATGTAACCCCGAAAACGTATTAAACAATAAATTCAATTCTGAATTACAGGTATGGCGTATGTTGGAGTACTACTGTTCATAGCAATTGGTGCTTTTGTTGTAGACGTGATATGCTATTTATGGATGTATACAACTGTACGTACTGTCGGTATCACGGATGGCAGAAAACGAAGAACCTCTGTATCTAGTTCTAAATCAGGGTAAGTAAACAATTCTGAATACCAGGAAAATGAGCATTATTTGCCCAACCTCATTTGCAGCACAGTTCTGTTGTTATTGCAAATATTTGTAGAAATCGGAGTTTTTTTTCCGAATTAAATCGATTATTTACATAAAAAAACACATCGAGACATTTAATCGCTCGAATGGTTTGTAGACTGATATTATATCGGAACAGCTTAAAATTGTTCTTGATATTTCATAAAATACCTTATTCACGCTAAATGCTAACTCCAAAAAATATTTAAAAAACACTACTACAGATTTATTTGATTATGTCACCAATCGTGATGTAGGCTACTTCCACTAATGCGTTTTTAAATCCGATGTGTTTGCAGGGCTTTCCACGGAATGAATGCAACAGCAGACGCGATTGTGGCAAAACGAATGGCTATTCTAGTCTTCACAAACTTTGCATGTTTCTTTCCAATATCGTTCTTTGCTCTAACAGCAGCAGCAGGAAAACCTTTGATTTCGATTTCACAGTCGAAGATATTACTCGTGATATTTTACCCTCTAAATTCCTGCTGCAACCCGTTTCTGTACGCAATTTTGACCAAGTAAGTTTCATTTCCAATTAATCTTGACTTTATCTCTAAATCACCCCAATTTGGAGAGTTACTAAAAATAAGAAGAAGCACAAAATTTAATAATCAAAAGCGCGAGCACTCAAATAATAAAAGGTTTCAGTATATATTCCGGAAGCGCTTGACTGACCGACTGAAATCCAGACTATCTTGCCAGATATTGAGTTGAAATTCCATGAGTTCAAAATATAGCATCATTGTTTACCCTCAAAACCAGTCGTTATTGACGCCAGTAAAATTGTTCAAGGAAATATATCATTCTAATTAACATTTATATTACTTTGTTATTATGCATTTGATAAGAGAATATGTCACAGAGCATCGTGGAGAAACAAATTGTATTTGTTGAAAATCTATTTATAGCATATTGTTTGATAATGTGCCACTACATTCCAGCTGCCTACATGATATTTATTGTTACTACATACTATGTTATGCCTCATGCTGCAATGCTAAAATCCGGATATATCAATATTTGGTTAAGTCCACCCACTGTCAGAAATTATGATTGTCTCACTATACGATATCTTTGCAGGTCGTTTAGGCGTGACCTTTTGACTTGGTTCACATCCCGTGGGTATTGTATACCTTTAGCAGCCAAGCTGAATGGCGCACACTGGAGACGAAATAGCATCGATCCTGGGAGTGCAGAACGTAGGGACACATACCGAAAACGTTTTCAACAATGCGTAAAATACGTTACCAACAAAAGATCCGTTCACATGGACATCGGTGGTGAAGCAAGTGCAAACTCACGTGATAGTGAACGAGTTACGAAAAATCACCGTTATAGTCCAAGCCACCTCAAACCGTTGAACATTCACAATGGCAAGATTGCGTACATGGGTAAACACGCCAAGACTGATCTAGATAACAACTCGAATAGTATTTCTAGTTATCATAGCACTGGAAACAGTCAATCTGGGCATAAAGGAATGTCAAGATTTTTTAAACTTGCTCTGGGAACAAAAAAGTTCAAAGAGCCTACCACTCCTACTGAGGAAAGAGTGCTAACCAACCGACAGCGCCCAATATTTCCTGAAATAAGGTGGTTTCGCTCACAGCGGAATCGGCCGTCCCGACAAACCTCGGGGGAAATTACAAGCCCAAATTGGCCCAGACCAGAAGATTCAAGCCCTTTGATGGAGACCCTCGACTCCCGTAACGAATGCGATTTTTCCATGCCAAATCACGAAAATAAGAAGTCAGCATATAAATCAGGCAGAAGGGCAAGCAAATCCCGACATTCGACTACAACAATCGAAACCAGACTCACTGTTGGCGGTAACACCAGAGGTTCGGTGGACCACGGGCATATATTACAAGATACCGGTGCGTCAACTCCTTAAAATGGATAATCTGAACTTTAACCTGACACGAAATAAGCCATTATGACGTCATCATAAAATTACATTAATTGGTATGATAATTTGTAATGGAAGCTTCAAAGATTTATTTTTCAGCGCACCAGTAACTGACACCAAAAGCGATACTTTCTTTCTATGAGATTGGCTAGCTTTTGCGAGCATTAATGTTTAACAGCTCAATTTATCAATTATGCCCCGGCGCAAGATGTGACCTTTCCTGCTAAATTTTGCCAATATTTATTTATGCTGCGTCATCTACAAAGCAAGTTCCGTTGGTTTATTCTTACAAAATATTCATTAATTTTTTGATTTCATTTGTTTTTTCTTGTTTATTAACTGTGTGTTTTCATCCCACTAAAACATGAAATGAGACAAAAAGGCATAGAATTGCCTTCCACTGTAATTGCAAAGTAAAAAAAAGAAATTATTATCCGAATAAATTTTAAGTAAGTAATATATAGCGAAATACAAAACACTGTATATAACGAAACAGACTCCATTGATAGAACAAATTAATAATATTAAGGTTGCCATATTCATCTTTAACATTAAATACAAGTCCAATCCAATATATGAGCCTATTGTCTGATATATGGCACTTAACTGGCAACAGTGATTTAATGATTAAAATTGGAACAGCGATTCCTACAAAACTCACGACAAATTATTGCATAGTGTATATTACATTCAGTTCCATCCTCATCAATACAAGTTTTATATCGGACAATAAAAAATATTTGTCACTTGCGAGTACTGTTGCCCTAAAATGGGCTTTTTTATTTTTTGTTTTCATGACATGATTACCTCATTTTGTTATTATTTTGCTTTACTGAAATTATTTTCATTCTTTCAAGAGTGTTGGAAATAAAGTGCATGGACAGCATCATTACAGGTTCTTTTGATGGAGTTAAATGTATACTGATTTATTTATCTTTACGAGGCCTGCACTATTGATGTCACTCGGCTTTGACGTAAGATGCCGGAAAGAGTCCGCTTTCTCCTGTTCGTATATTCCTACCTTGTATCCATCCATCGTTGCCCTCTTCAATACAAATAAGTTTGTCGCCTACGATTAGTTCAATTTCATTACTTATTCGGGGAGCGTATTCAAACAGAGCAACGAACATTTTGTTCCCCGAACCGGCGGGAGAACTTGTATTTATGGAAGCGTATGATGCGAGACTGTATTCACTGTCTCGGTTGTCGAAATTTGGAGCTTGTCGCGTTACGTTACCGTTAGTAGAGCCACCACAAGCCTGATAGACGATGGGGGTCAAAGGTTGCGTTCCGGTAGATTTTCGTGACACAAAATCACATATGTCGCTATCAATATCGCAATTTTCTAGAGACAAGCGAATATTTTCACTAATATCATCTGATTTGACAAATAAATCTGATCCTAGGTTCGCAAACACCCACAACTCGTTGCGTAAGCATTGCAGCCTTTCTTCTTCAAGTCTTTGGAAAATATCACAGGCTGTTCGATGGTCTAGTTCCTAAATGATAGAAGTGTTCAGTCAACTGGAATATATCACGACTCAAGGTAACTTTTAGATTTATAACCCGCACCCAATCCAAATCTACGTGGTTGTATATTAATCGGATTGGATGTATTACTAAATAAACATTCCCATGTGTCAATATTTAACATTCAGTAACCGTACTCAACAAATATTGAATATTGAAAGCATTCTAATAAATTCTGCATCGTCTTTATCAGCTGATATTATACAATTTCATTACTATAAAACCACAATTTAAAAAAAAATCAATTTAGCTTGTTTATTTAGTATACTGGCTTGATTGATTGGTGGCTACAAAAAAAGAAGCAAGAATATGGATTTGTGTCGAGAATTTTGTGTTTGTTAAAATCCCAATTATTTTTACACATTATTCGCAATTTTCGCAGTAGGCCCCAAGAAAAATGTATGACTGAAATTGAACCAAAGTTGGGCCACTAAAGAATAAAGGTTGAGAATAACTGCTATAAATCGTTCCTAAAATTAGGATATGTCCTTACCCAAGATTGTCGTATTATTTCCAGCTGTGTCACAGTAGAATGATATTCTTCATTAGCTTTGACTGAAGCCTGTTTACTTTGTTGAGCAGTTTTCTTGGCTTTATCAATTTCCTTCGGCTTGTTACCGAATTTTATTCGTTCTAAATCGGATTCAGCTTTTTCAGCAGATTTGAATTTGCTCTCGTAAACACCTCTAAAAAGACATGTATTATTGGAAGTGTTGTCATTTATCAAAAGGAATGACAAATCAATTGTAACAATGACATCTGTTCAAAATCACTTGTCACATGTTAAAAGAGGTCCGGTGATTAACAGAAAGAGTAATGCAAATGAGCACACTCGAATTAAAATAAAGCTGGTCTTCGATAAATATTTATATGTCAAATTAAACTGAGTCAAATTTCGACAAAAAACACAAAAGAACTAAGATTGGTTAAAAACTGACAGAGTCGGTCGCAGGTCGTCAATAATAAGGATGTGGTGATATTCAGCCCGAGCCAGCTTGCTTAAAAATCTTGTTTCAATGATATTCTAAGTAAGGCTAGTAATTATTACATTATATATCATATTCCCAACATACACGGCAATGGCAGGAGATTAGGTGAGGTGAGGGACAGTACACGGTCTGCTCAAGAGAGAACAACCCCAGCGAAACTTATCCCGCGTTAACATCAAGTTGTAACGAGAAGTTTTGGTCGTAGTTTGGAAACAATTACAGTAGAAAGTAAATGAACTTTGTACATTAATGTCATAGTAAGAGATCAATTATAGCACTTGACTTTAATTAGAGGTCAAAGGTCAAAGCAAACTAGATGTTTTACACAAGCTTATGACCTAAATAAATATCTTGAATCACCACGTAAATCAAAAACGAAAAGTCGTTTGGCAACATTCATTGCGTTGCGAAACGAAAGCAGTTTTTGATACAGTAAGCCCGCAACCGAAGATTATATCACTTTATCTTCTTTTAAATTTTGGATAGATGAATGAACAATTAATGAATGAACAGCCACAATGAACAATTAATCACAGGGTGAAATCGACTATAGGTCAAAAAGTACAAACAATTTCCATTATACGTGAAAAATACAATTTCCCATCAAGTTGTATTGGGTTGCGTTAAAATCCGAAAAGCAGAATGAAGTTTTTTTATAACCCTTGTGGTGACTTAAGTCATACTTATTCTCTTCTTAATATTGGCAAAAACTCAAACATTATGGAAATTTCCGCTTACTATAATTACCATATGAGTGATACGCGGAAATTTCGGTCAAAAATTTTGAATGTTATTTTCAAAACACAATGACCATATGGCGCATATGCAGTCTTAAGAATTTTCATAAGACGAGATATCAATAAAACGCGCGATCATCACTTCCGTTCCGCTTGGCTAACTATTCAGCACATGCAAATGATGATATTAATATGGTGAATATAACTAAGAAAATTCCCTATAGTTGCTGGTTGCACTTGAGAATACCAATAAAACAATTGCGTTTCGAATGTTCCACTATCTACTAAAATTCAGTGCACTTCATACAGTTTAAACAGAGAATACTACTTTCTATACGAATTTTCAACGCAACATACGCTAGTACCTTCTATGAATAAGACCAGCGTCTAACGCGATTTCAATTCTTTAGGCTCAAGTTTGAAAAGTCCCAATTTCGGGCTCAAAACTCGACACAGAAGACTGAAATGCATTTCAGCAGGTCGAAAGTTGAATTCAGGTGAAGCATTAATCATTTTCAATCGACCTGACTGCCAGTTCTATGAAAATGATGATTTACATTCTGTGAAACACAAATGGACGAGATTGCTCACGCATGACACATCTGAGCCAGAAACAGAGCTGTCGATATCTGAATAGTTGGATTTATACAAAGAATGTGACAAACGGTTTAACATACAAATGCTTGAATGTGTTTGAATGCAATATTTGATTCGCGCAAAGGGGAAATTTTAGGAATTTGATAAGGAAGCTAGCTTACTTGCAAACTTGCATTCTTCTATACGCTTCCGCCTTCAATTTATGTGCTTTGTGCATGGCGTCTTCATGTCGTTTGCGTTCTTCTCTTTGCTTTTCACGGAACTCCTCTAATTTTTTGACTTGGTCCTGCAAGGCCTGTGAGTGATTAAGATGAATACTCGCTTCAGCTTCTGCTTCACGTTGTAAAGTTTTGAGTGAATTTTTCATAGTACCTGTTTCATCATTGCCGCGTTCCACTCTGAAAACATTACACTTAAATATATTAGCAATCTCTAAATATCTCCATAACAAAAGAAAAACTGTAATTTTTTATATTCGATGCAATCGCTAGGAATATTGTTATATTACACCATTCATAAGGTAAGTTTGATGATTTTTTTTTTGATCGGGACCTGTGACGTTGAACGTTACAATGTATAATACAAAGTCTAATACAAGACTTTATGAAAATGTTCATTATGAAAGATTGATTATGTTCATAAAAATTCACTAAATTATGAAGCATAATTCTTATGACAAAATTGACATGCATTTTTTTTCGTTTAGTTTCCGATAAATGACGCGTATCATGGAATGCAAGTATACCAATTACCAATTATACACTTCCTTTTAACTTGGATCACGAAATTCCATTAGCTACAGAATGTTATTAATGACTATAGTGTCTGAAACCGTATCGCGTGATTTAACATTGTTGCACACATCTAAGATTTATAACATACCCTCAATGTAGATTAATGTAATTAATGTAAATTTTACTTTACGAAACACATGTGTACCACTGGCGAACAACATTTTGAAAATTGCGGTGGAAATCTTTGAGAAATTCGATAGATTTATTAATCACGGGGTTATGTCATAATATACTGTATAAGTAAATTCACCACCAATTCGATATCTAAGAGCAGGAAGTATACTTATAACATATCGACGTAACTACGAATAGCTTTTGGTAAATATTATCTTTTCGCTGATAAGCGCATTGATTCTCATTATAATCATTTCAAAAAACAATATTACTATCTCGTCATCGGTTTCGACCAAGGAAACGTTATGACATCAGTTGTTCAACATATTTGGGAAATATAACGCTTGATTTGTTTTCGATCCTTACCCAGTAAAAAAATTATCAAAGCTGATCAGTGTCAAAAATGAGCTTTGATATAATTACGCCTGTATTCACGGCGGCCTTTGCCCGAATGGCAATTCAAGGGCTTCCTATGGTTGTGAATTCAAGGCGTTTAAAATGAGCTGTTTGTATTTATGACTTGCTATCCATACTTGACTTACTTGGCAATTTTCAGTAATGCTTTGGCATATTCCTCTTCGGCTTTTGCACGCTGCTTTATAAAGTCTTCAACGTCACGGCACGTTTGTCGGCCTTCCTTCATGCGAGCAACTAAAGTATCAAATCCAGTTTGGGACACAAAGTCACTCTCCCAAAACGACGAGCTAAACATTTTTCTCTTATTATGTGTCCTATATTAGCATAACTGCATCACAAAATACCTGCTTGAATTAAACTGTAGTGGCTAAGGCATAAACCGTACATAAAAAGATAACCTTACTTTTCGTACATATATGTGGTTATAAAAGATCTTAAAATAGTAACGAAGATGCCTAATCCATGGCAGTAGCTAAGCGTACCGTCAAAAAATCCAACTGCACTGGCATTCCTACTATTATCTTTTAATAAGATAGGATTGTTTACTCTACTACACAGAACCCAATAGCTATGTTGCCTAGTGTTGACTCAGAAATTCATATGCACGGCAGTAAAGCGAAGTCACTAATTTATGAATGCTCAGTGAGTAATACCATCTATCACTTTAGTACTGTTGGTCGACGAGTATACATCAATTCAATTTTGAATATAACTGTCGGTAATAACAACGTCATTCGAGACTTTGGGGACAAAACAAAAAATGTACATTATATTTCACATACTACTGTACTAGTCGCAGTATTGACAACAAAATATAGGCCTTCTTTAAACTCACATTGCTCACTGCAACGGTCACATGTCACAATGGTCCAATAAAAAAATCATCAATTGTTGATATCTTGTCACTGGTTCAGAAGCATTCAACAGAACAAGGGACAAAAAAAAATCAGTGATCCAAACACACAACCGTCAGACCGCAAACATTTTGTGATTTGTGTTCTAATTTGCTGACAGCTAACAGTTGTGGACATTGTAACGCCCATCAGGTATTCTGGCAAGCCCATCTTATCTCTAAGTGAAGCTCACCAAAAATGCTCTTCTTATGGGTCTTTTATCGAAGCATCACTTACAACTGAGCTGGCCTGCCTAAATGCCAGAAAGTGTGTTGATATATCTCTCAACTACAGTCTTAATAATTAGATAAACTACAGCGTGACTAGCAGCGCCTTAAGAAATCCTGGCTTCACGTGTGTCTGGAACGCGTATTCACCTTTATAATAACATTTCATTTCAGCGCACGTCTCGGAATGACGTAGTTATAACCTGCGTATCTCTATTGTTGCTTGACTTCCTATTTGGTTTCTGATGAGATATATAACAAAATAGCATGGCAAAACGATAAAAGAAGCATGTAAGGACGCCTCCACACTAGGTATGTGGAATTTTAGAAAAATTTCGGTATATTTTTGCAACAAGTGTATTGCAAAGGGTGATCTATTTGACCGTGACAGTTAATTGACTATGACGAAACTATAAAAGTAACAACAAGACAACGGCGCGAAATATAAATTGCGTTTCAATAAGGGTTCAAAAAAATTTAACGATCCTCTAGCTAGAGAGATCAGCCGCTATTCTTTTGTGATAGCGCGAATTTATTGCTTCCTTTTGTGTTTGTTGTGTGTAATACTTGACACTCGCCAGGACAATGTCATCATCAACGCAACTGGTCTGACTCAAAGCTACTTTCGATTGTCAAAAACATTCAATTTTCTATTACTAGGCCTGAGAAAGGGAGAATTTCATTCAATTGCTAGAGCTGCAATCAAGTCCAAATGACAGCATATTCGGTAAAATGAAAATGATATGGTGCAGCAGAAAGCATTGTTAACTCCATCGTGTCGTATCAACACTATAAACCTGAATACAGGTTTTTATGAGCACCTCGGCTCGTGTGATGTAACGTTCAGCAAATTGACACTATAAAATTTTACTATTCCAAAATTGTATTATCCAGACTGTTTCCAGTTTAAATACTCGATATTGAATTTCATTTTGCCAGTCGATTAAAAACCAAATTTTGTTACATACGCCAGTGAGGTTTCGAAAATAAATTTGTTTCGACCTATAAGATCTGACCAACCTCACGTCTAAAATTATCAACCGTAAACTCAAACAAGCAACACTTCGAATTGTCATGAAATTAAACATAAACCGGTTAGCGAACACGGGATATTTATGCTGGCGCTCGTCAGCACAAATGTAAACAGATAATTTATTGACATATACACTTGTACCAATGTCAAACTGATTTGACTTTCCTCACGATCATGTTATATCAAGGAGGATTACCAAGTACAACGTGATCTTTTAACCAAGAAGCAGTAACCATCTCAGTATAGCGCTAAGATACAAAGTTGATATCGGTTCGCCAAACACAGCGTCATCTGAACTGTTGACTGGAGGAAGCGGAAGCAAATACCATATATATATATATATGGTACACAAACAATGGATTCCAATCGAGCATATTCCTTTTTCTTTCAGTTTGCTCAACTGAAAATGAGCACACTGAAAGACGAAAATTCATAAATCGAAGACATCACGCGATCAATTTCGCAACAGGTAGATAGATGTTCATGTAGAAGCCTTTAATCATCGCATCACGAGGGCTTCAACAATCACCCAAACCAGCACACAAAACAGTGTGAGCGACGACAATCACTTTGCCAAGAGAAATAATCTTCGTCACAATTCATTATAACACGTTCCACACTTCATTAAATTATTAATAACTACATCCAACTTGAGTAGCAAGTTCAGCTATAACAAATCAATCGGAGATAAGAAAAGAACAATTCTGATATCGGTAGTAAGCTCGATCTGGTGAGTCGAGATTCATTTTGTTTACATGCTTACCCAAAAGAACACATATAATTCTCAATTACTCCTACGGAAATAAAAACAAAATATTTAAAAGATATACTTCTGTTCTTGGTTCAGCCTTTATGTGTCGAGTATTAGTAGAATGGAATTGATCGTCAAAATGTATAAAAGATAACATAGTAAAAAGATTTTTTATGTATTGTGGACCTTTGCACATGCCACAACGCAGGAATGTAACCTAACAAGTGTCTTCTATTCGCAAATAGTACTGACGGAGATCATTTTAACCGTTTTCAAATCGCGAGTAAGCATTTTACATCAAACAGATCAAAAAGTGATATATTTCATAGTCATTTACAATTGCGAAAAATATAGTATTTGAGACAAAATATGAAACCGTGATACAAAAAAGACTATCAGGCTTGGCCAATAAAATCAGGTGGCATCCAGTCGGTTACTTGAGGCCTTGAAACCCATATTTGTTTCCAAGATTTCTTGTGTGTGTTTAACGCCATCTTAAAGTAAATTTTTGTCAGTTCACAAATGCATGATATTCATAACGGAGGTACAAAGAATGAAGGTCGAACAATTAAACATTAACATTGAAAATATTTTATAAATATATTTTTGGAGTTATTCATATATTATTTTATATCTTTGTGCAATCAAAGTCTTTAAGAAACACAATAGATGAAGCTGAACATCACTATACCTGAGCAATTTCAACCTTTCTCTCCCAGCTTTTGACAGTTTTTTGAAGTTCCATTAAATTTGCCTTCTTATGAACATAATTCTGTACTTCTGGCACTTTGAAATCAGCTAGTTTTTGACGCTGGTGTTTATTGTTCTTCTCGGCAATATTTCTTTCCTGTGCATATAAAAGCGAATTTCAATTTTTTCAATATTCATACAATTTACTTGGTATGCAGATGATCATAAGATCAGGATAGGGCAGCTTTGTTCACAACAGAATTTAAAAATCTCTGGCCCTTGTTAAAGTGAAATAAAATGAAAATTGTTATCTTCCTACCTCTTCTACAATTATAGTTTCTGCATCAAATTTCACAAGATTATCTTTTCGAGTTAATATTTCTGTTTTCAAAGCTTTCGATTCAGTTGTCAGATTCAGTAATCTTTTCTGTAAACAAAATTCTATTATTTAATAAAAGTTGAACACAATGTCAAATAGAGACTTTGTCTTTTCTCTCTAAAATCACAAATCTAAAGCTTTACTTTATTAATAAAATACCTTATATCTGTTCAAGACTTGTAGTGTGTTTCCAGCCATTAATTTTAACCTCAATAGTTCTTGATTCTTTTCATCAATTTTCTCTAAATACTGCTGGTTTTCAATTTTAAGTTGATTGAAATCCACCTCATGTAGCACTTCACCCATTTCTTCTTTCTAGATAAATAACAGTAAAGGAGAAAATAATGATCCTTGTGGAAAGCACATTGGCAACAGATTCAACCATTTATGGGATTAACGAAAATTAATGCAAGAAAAGCACTAGATTAAGATTTTAGGTACTCCCGTAGTATTTGCAACAAGATGGTGGGCACCAGAATGTAGTATGTGTATCAGGTTAAGGTTAGGCCATAATTACAGGAACAAATACTACAGGAGTCACTTGGCTAGTCCCCGAACTCGTAATACAACTAAAATAAGAAAAATTGGGATAAAATTAGCAACAGATTCAACCATTTAAGGGATTAACGAAAATTAATGCAAGAAAAGACTAGATTAAGATTTTAGGTACTCCCGGAGTATTTGCAACAAGATGGTGGGCACCAGAATGTAGTATGTGTATCAGGTTAAGGTTAGGCCATAATTACAGGAACAAATACTACAGGAGTCACTTGGCTAGTCCCCGAACTCGTAATAGAACTAAAATAAGAAAAATTGGGATAAAGTTATAGCCTAACCCTAACCTGGTTGGTACACATACTATGTGCAGGTGTTGTTGCACATACTACGAGGTGCGGCTAAAATGGAACGGGACTGACGTCACAGATTGCGCAACACAATTAACCATCGGTAATCAACCCTTTTGCAGTGTGGCGTAACATGTGATCTTTGTTTAACGGCTGTTTTGACACAATATCGCAATTATTTTTGCTTTTCAGGATCTATAAGTGAATGTGATAAATTGCTCGTTGAAAAAAATGCTGTGCGAGGTCTGATTGAGTTTTTTGGTGATAGGGGGTTCAATTGCAGAATGACGATTGAGCAAAGAATTAACATTACATTTTGTGTCAAACTTGGAAAAATGCATGTCAACTCGGCATGCATTCAATCGTTGAGCTTTCTGCTCCTCAGTCAACTCAAGAGCCTTTGGCATCATTTTGGCACACACCTTTTGCATTCCCAAAGTGTCAACTAAAATGGTGCGGACCGTTTTTTTGTCCATCCCAACTTCTTTGGCAATGAGGAGAATTGTTAAGCGACGGTCACTGCGAACAAACTGCCGAACCTTTTTGATGTTGGTATCAGTTGTGGAAGTGCAGGGCCTCCCTGACTTTGGATCATTCTCAACATCTTCCCTGCCTTCCACAAATCGCTTGTGCCATTTAAAAACTCTTGTTCTGGACATGGAAAAATCTCCATAAACATCACGCAACATCTTCAAAGTCTCATTCGCCGTTTTTTAGAGTTTGACACAAAATTTAATGTTAATTCTTCGCTCAATCGTCATTCTGCAATTGAACCCCCTATCGCCAAAAAACTCAATCAGATCTCGCAAAGCGATTTTTTTTAACAAGCAATTAATCACATTCACCTACGGCTCCTAAAAAGCAAAAATAATTGCGATATTGTGTCAAAACAGCTGTTAAACAAAGAACACATATTACGCCACACTGTAAAAGTGCTATTTACCGGTGGTAAATCATGTTGTGCAATCTGTGACGTCAGTCTCGTTTCTTTTTAGCCTTACCTCGTACAGGAGCGCCAGATTTTATATATATATATATATTCAAAAAATTAAGAATGTTAGAATGATAACTTCTGGCATCGATGCAGCAAACAGTTGCATCTGATTGAGTCACCGACTCGTCGGCAAATTGCAGATGCACAAGCTTCGTATGAAAGAAAAGCCAATGACCATACTTGAGGCTGACAACTCTCACCTTCCACCATTATTCATGGATGCTATTTTTATCCCACATACACGATGCATTTAATTCATACTTTAATGTGCTGGTCAATATAAAATCATTTCTACCTGTTTCAATTGTAGTTGAAGTTTCTTTTTCTGAACTCTAAGTGTAGAGTTTTTCAGTCGTAATTTTTCAATCAATGTATCCTAGAATGCAGGAAAAATGACAAATATCGCTATGAAAGTTGGTTTGAAAAAAAAACTCAACCTAAACTTATGATAGTGGAAAAAATAGCGAAGAAAATTGAAAAATAACAAAAATCGTGCCATGCAAATAATGTAAAAGTAGTTGCCTAAATTTGTAGGTCAAGCAGATCCAAAATGCTAAACTTGATAAAAACAACCCCATTATGCTTGTAATCAAGGGACACTACTGAAAAAAATCTAAGAAGACTATGAATTGAGGATATAGATCATGCTACAAAATATAATAAAATATGACAATGTTATAAATTATCATTTTGGAAAGATGGTCAAAAAGTTTTGGATCCTTCATATATTTAACCAAACACTCCTAACACAATACCTTCTATCGAATAATAGTTTACTGTGAAGTATGCTCTATGAAAATTTCATAAATGAGTATTAATCATTTCATGATATTGTATATTGATTTAAAACTATTATAGCTTGTATTGATATCCTCACAGAAATGTATCACATATTTTTAATTCATTAAAATGAGATTTTCACTGATATTCATAATAATGTAAAAAATTGAATACTCATAATTGAATATTCATACCCTTGATCTCAATTTGTCTTCGTAATATCTCAGAACTTTTTCTGCAATGACTTTATTCGTTCTTGGATTTATTGATCCTTTACATATATCTCTATCAAATTCATAGAAAGCTTTCTTTGATTCTTGTATTTTCATTTCTGCTTCTTCAAGATTTGCCTAGAATAATAAAAATACCATCAATGAAAAGAGATGCATAATTTGAGGAGTCAAATAAAAATTTCTGAGAAGTTTGAATCAGTCAATTGTTAGCAGCGTTGTATGATCAGAATAATAATGATGTCACCAGGAATATTCTTAGCAAATTAAATACATTATCATTAGTTATATATAGTATATATATTATATACCATTGTAAATTCTTGAGGACTAATTTGGAATATTTCTATTTGTACACTTCATTTTTGTCTTTTTGATACTGATCAAAATAAAAGATTCACTCAATTGCTGATAAAGTAGCAAACCAGACAATTGATAACGATATTTGAGCAGTGGTAAATCAAAAAATAATTTTGTACAATTCATCTTCATGAGTTGAACTTTACTAGTACACTCAATATTTTATATTTTAAATATTTCCCAAGAATTCATCAAGAGTCTTATTATACTGATTTTGACCATCCATCGCCCCAATTCAAAATTTATGTCATTGTGCAATGACAATAGTTAATATTATACACAGAAATCATTTTTAATAAATTAAATATTTATACCGTGTCTTTCTAAAACTGTGACAAAAATAATAAAAAGGAACTTTACTAATATAGCCAAGCACATTTAAACTGATTCTCGTTTGTATGTCCACCCATCCTTCAAAAATTGAACCTTAATACAATTTTACCTACATAATATAAGCAACACCAGTATAAGCATAGAAGAGTAAAAATGGGCAAATTGTTACTAAGCTATTCATTGGATCCTTACCCGATAGTTATCCAGAACTCTTTCAGAATCTTCTTTTAATTTATCAATTTCCTCTCGCAATTCTTCCAATTCACGTTGAGCGATGTCACATTTTTGTTCTGCAGTCAATCTCAACAATTTATCTAATGCACTGCTTCGTGATTTTGACCTTTTCCGACTTCCGCGAACAACATGTATCTGATGAAGAAAAACTTTTATTATACCTTTTGTCTGGAATTTCCAATGTAGAAAAGTAATTTCATAATGAAATGCACTAAATTCACGAAACAAATCTTATTTAGATCACAGTTTTTATAATAAAGACATCATCTACCTCTTGTATTTGTGGAAGTGGAGATGTAAATTGTTGCTGTGTTAGTGTTGTCGTTTCTTTTGGTTCAACTCGCCGTAAAAATTTTTCAAACATTTCTGTTTCAGTCTTTATCACTTCATTGACACGCCTCAAAATGTTAATGTCAATTATAATAGAATCAGAAGGTTTGTGATGTTTTCACAACCAAGAAATCTGCTCAAGTAGATTTTGGATGGAAAAAAGAAAATCACAACTCTGAAATCAAATTCAAGATGTGCCACACCCAACACAATTTTAGTTTCTTCACACTATAAGATGGCATGTCCAAATTGCCGATTTTAGAATATCTTGTCAAAGGAAAAGCAATTCTGGTAATATTATTTTTATGAAGAAATATGTGTGCACTAATAAACTCAGTTGGCTTTAGTGCTAGAAGCAACAAGTTAGAATCATGTATTCAACAATATTCACTAAAAAGATAACTAGACAAGAAGCCTCGCTAGGGTCAAAAATAAACTTGATATTAACTCAGAGGTGGGCAACATACGGCCCGCTAGCCGGGTCTGGCCCGCGACAAGATTTTTACCGGCCCGCTGACTGTACATCAATACATTATGCTATTACATTATTATACTTTTAGTACATTAAGATAAATTTATTCTGTGTTTTTTGGTCTCTACTTTTCGTAAAGTTTAAACTTATTTATAATTTTCTTTCTTGCATTAGCGAATAAATATGTGATTGAGATATTGAATACTGTTCATGTAATAATCCGGCCCATCGAGGACTTCATTTTCCCACATTTGGCCCGCCAACTACAGTTGCCCTCCCCTGTATTAACTGGATTTCTGGACTAGTTGAGAAAAGAAACGAGAATAGAGAAAAAGACAAAATTCTTTCAACCAAATAGACTAAGGTAAGTATTCAAGAATAAAAATGAATCATTAAAAGGTGAATCATAAAACTAATGACACAAAAAGAGTGGAGGGTATATACTTACTCAGTATCTTCTACAAACTGACAAAGTTGTTCCAGAGTTAAATCTGCTAATGGATCATCTTGATCAGTTCCTGTAGCTGCTGATACGACACTGTCACTATCCGCCATGTTATTACCTGGAGTGATTTACTAAAAATACCATAAATGCTGAAATATAAATACATCAGTCAAAATCATATATTCTACAATAAAATTAAATACAAGCTGGATGATCAAAAAAATTTCCCCCTTAGGATGAAGATGTGCTTTTTTGAATAAGTAACCAAATATTTGTTTTAGATCAGTGGTTTTCAACCTTTCACTGATTGTGCTATTGTGTACCACTCTTGTGCTATTTACTCTGGCCGCGTACCACCGACAAAACTCCTTTTTGGATTGGAGAACAATGGCACAAGATCCAATTTAGGCATTCGTGTGAAGTTTCAACGTATTAGTTTTATGCAGAAACAATGTATTGATTACGTGCAAAATAGCGAGAGAATTGGCATCGTCTGCCGTCAGAGCTGAAAGGCTTCAATCATCGTTTCGTTTTAGTTGGGCAGTAGCGAGCGAGGGCGATCTCAAAAAAAAGAACTGGTTGCACCATAAACCCATTCAGCGAATACATGCAGTATGATAGATAAAGCGTTGTAGACATATTTTAGCCAACTCACAAGTTAATCGTTGCAATCATTCGAACTGCTCGCGTAACACTCGAAAAGCTTCCGCGTACCCCGTTTGTGAACCACTGTTCTAGATGCATGTTCTTGAAGGAACTGAATACCAGATTCATGATTTCACTTCATTTTACAGTTATTCTAACCGGGTGCCAATGGATACAGGAATAGTATTATTCAGATCAAAGTCAATTCTGCATTTAAACAGAAGCCTTATCATACTGTCATATGGATAAATGGTGCCTCTTCTTCTACAGTTAGTGCCTATTGTTGAGGGTTAGAAACATGGTTGTTATAGCATCTTTGATGGAGCTTTTTCGATTGTTACCCTCGGAGTGTCACGCTTTGTATATTGTATACTATGGGGTGTATTTATATTTCATTTAATGCATTGCTTTGGGGTGCAGGGGTGTGTATAACCCAGGGTAACAAACAAAATAACACCTCACTGATAACCTTGTATTCGTTAGAATCGAGTGCAGGATAATTATGTAAGAGATTTGCTGAAATCCTCGTCGTCAATGAGCTCCATGTATCGTTAACTGTTGATTGGTTACAGTTTCTAAAACATCAAGTCTATGCACGTGGAACAAATATGCCGAACCGGTTTATTCCATATCCTGATTCTTGATATGGATTCAGCAACTGCTGAACTGGTAACCAGATGAAAGGATGTAAATCACCATACTGCCATACAGATGTAGGAATAAGCTGTCTCGAGCTGTATGTAATATAGTACGGCACACTATACAGATCGAGAGAAATTGCCTCGTTTCATAGAAACCCATTTTACCGATGATCAGACACCCCTCCTTTGGGAGACGTCTGGACATTGTTGTCCCTCAATATCAGTAATATTACAGTATAATGAAGTCGCGCAAAATACTACAAAAAAGCGCAATCTAATAACATCATCATTGAATGCCTCAGGAAAAAATAATCCGATTTACCGAAGGAAAAAATTTTTTACCGTTGCATTCAAGAGTTTTTAGCAAAAAACGGCAAGTTTGGTCACGTGACGGCCGCGATTAATTTAGATTATTATTGAGACAAGCATGGCGCGATATGAAGCATCTGACGTGGGGACAGACGCCCCTCGTTTGTGAGACACTTGGATTGTTTGTTTTATTGAGCCAAATGGAGGGAAATTCTTGGAATTTGGATAGTGTGCCATACTGTAATATCCTCGCAATAAATAGAAATGTGCTTCTCCCATCCTACAATTTTTAAATGACAAAATAGTGTACCACAGCATGTTCACTGGTATCTAAGTTTTGAATTAACCATACAATACAGCAATATCAGAGATACTAGATTTTGGGATTATTCTAGCCAGTAGACTACAGCATTAACCAACCCTACGGTATTCCAGATTCAGTTGAGCAATAAAATGTCAGACGTACCGGTACCGGCACCGTATCATGTAACGAAGATAATACATTTCTGTATTCGTGAGTGTTAGCTATAATAATATATTCTCATCTTTTCATCAATTCATTTAATACTTGAGACAGGTAGCATTAAATTATACTCAGAAAGAAAACTAGGATAACGAGACGTCGAAAACAGCAATACCAGGAACCGGGAACAAAAAAAATTTGTTTCCATAGTAACGAATATCGGCCTGTTCACTGCTGCTACTAGTGGGTCAGCTTGAAACAAAATACAGTAGTCGTCAAAACCGCTCACTAAAAAAGCGAAACCCGTATTTTTTTGATTACCAGTTCTCGCCAGGTATGACCGTATGGGAATACTATTTAACCAAATATTCGTTCAGAATATTCATTCGGCAGTGAAATTCCCTCACCTCAACTCCAACAATTCTCTTCCAATTGTCACCCACATGACGCGTACCCCCCAACATCACATGTTCTCACTCCTTCTATGCGCGAAGAGTCATTTTGTGGATGCCTTTCGTCGCGCAACAGCAACAAGATGTAAATAAAATTTTGCTTTTTTGATTTATTACCAAATGGTACACTACAACCCAGGATTTGTATAGCTCTCAAATTCTATAACGCGAGTGCTTTCCACGTAAATCTTTTCTGTATACGATTTTGCCTAGCCCACAGGTAGATCTGCGGTCTTTGTCATGTCGGATCTTAAGCGAACTAATCCTGCCATTATTGGCACTATCAGCGGCGGAAATTTTCTTTTTAGCTGCCAGCCAAATTTACCATTATCATTTACAATAAATGTTTTAGAATTACATTATTATGTCTATGTGACTATTTGTAACTCAATGTAAAATGCGCATTAGCGGCTGACACAAAATAAGAAAATGTCACGCCATGGTTTTTATATCAACCTTGACAATACGTGTCTGGGATCAGCATTTTGGAAGTGTCTGGGTAGGGTACTTTCTCAACACATAATTATTAAATAAAAATACCTAATTCTATGCAGGAAATCTCGCACTGGGATCAAAGTTTTTGTAACCTTGCGCATGTGAAAATTAGACAAATTGGACATCAATCAATATTTCAGACCCTCTAGAACTGGTTAGCCATCAGACGTCAGTAGATTAGGGTAATCATATAATACATAAACGAATTACTCAAGAGTGGCACCCAACAGCAAATGAGGCCCACTCCAAGGCGTCTGCTGCCCCGGGAGCCTATATGAAATATTCAAACAATCACACTGACAGCTTTTACAATATTTTATAAGGTATTTATTTTTTCATGACGAAGAAGTGGCAGGCGGTTGTACATCAAAAGCAGCGTAATGGTGAATTATCGCATTGAAAGCGATTTGTCATCTGTAGCAATTCTACGTGTACATTCCAGTGTCTAGAAGTAAGATGATCATTTGAAAAACTTCATTTTGTTCGTACAAACTACTAATTCTGGTTTCACAAATCGCCAATCTTCACATTTTTTCAAAAAGTCAATATTTAGCAAAGGATAGCGGTGATTTTTGTGAAACCGAGGTAAGTTATGAATTTACTTGTGGTATTGAAAGTTGTTAATTTCGATTAATTTCGGAAAATAAATGAGGGGACTACATTGAAGATATGTTATTGAGTTCAAAAATAATCTTCAAAATAGGACTCTGGTTGGTATAAACTGAATTTTAATCACTCAAATTATTTTTCTTGATCTATATAATAATAATGTCGTCTTTTTAATCAAATCATTATTATACTTACAATATGTCAAAACCCAACATAGAACAAAACAAATATATATATATATATAATAAACAATTTCAACACTGCGCGAAAAATAGTAACAGAATACAATGATCATATTAGAAAAATATTATATCATATTACAAAATTGAACCGTTTTAATATCATAATCGTAGCTTTAAAATCATGTTTGCTGATCTCTAAACATGGTATTTATTAGAATTCATTAAAAACTGTCGTTGATAGTTATCAGGTAAATGCAAACTGGGTAAAGCTGAGGTTCAAACATTTTGTCCAAAAATCCATCCAATAATATTTTTGAAAATTGAAAGTTACAATTTTTTGTCAAGAACAACTTTTTTCCTCGATTAAATTGTAGTTGAAAAAAAGGAGAAAGAAATTAGCAGGATTGTTTCAGCGTAGCGTTTGAGAACGTTGGACAAATATGAAAAACACAATAAACACTTTGAATGAACTACGTTTATAACACTTAGAAGTAGGTCGTCTAATAATAGGTCACAAAACGATATTATTGGATGGACACGGCAACCACAAGCTTAGAAATAAGTAACAAAAATATAATTATTATTTTGCCAATATGGCATGTACTCCCACATGTCACTTAACAACTCGATATTGAAAGATGTCACACATTGCCATTATCCGTATTCCATCGCTTGCCCTAGTTTGGACATTATGGCGCCTGGGATTTTCCGAAGTATCTTTATTTCGTCTTGCTCAGGTGACACTACAACTAGAAAGAAAGAAATTGCTTTCCACGGAAAGCAGCGTTAGGATCATTTCTCAGCAGACGCCTTCGATGTAAAAATTGTCTGTGCAGTCTCATGCGCCTCAGTTTACGTAACATTTCATTTCTTTTAATGCGCATCGATTCTTCATTTAAAAAGTGAACCAAACGTGCTTTGACAGAGGGGCTTAATCGGGAAAGGTAACCAGAAAGAGGATCGCTGCCGGTACTTTCTTCATCTTCGCCACCTTGACTTAGTCTTTCCGCGAGGTACGAAACAAGTGAGTACATGTCGCAGTTGCAGTCAAAAGAGGGTTCCGTGTGAACGCGTTTAGATATTGCATCCTGTCTTGATTTGAGTCTGCAAAAGAAAGAGTTTGCAAATACGATGAAAAAACAACAGCAAAGTGGGATGAGGGCACCATGGATAAAAATATATAATATTAGCTGATCCATGTGCATCGATCGTTTGGTTATTTATCTTTGTCACAGTTGTGTTCAGTACCAGGATTAATTAGTATAGAATAATAAACTGACAATACTTGAGCGATTTGGCACAACTTGTAACGTTTTTGTTTCGTTCTCAAAGCTTTAGTTTGAATCACAAGTAAATAATCCGAATTTTAATCTATTATGGAAATTTATGGATAAGGCATTTTACATGTCACTGCATATCATTTCCATTTTCCACCATGTTAAAGTTCAATCAAATGAGATACAATCGCGGAAAAAATGATAAATCAAGACATATTCTAACAAAAGGGCAATGCCAAATATAGACATACAGGCTGTATATCGAAAATGGCGCCGCAATGTCAATAATATTGAATCCAAATAAAAAAAGCTCAATTAAAACTACCTTGAAGTCTGGTCATCCAGATGAGAATGGGATTCACATTGGCAGGGGCCTCCTGCTGTAGATCCAACCAGCTTCAACAATGTTGATAAAATTTGTTTTCTTGCGTGGGACTTCAAAGTTCTCGAATATTTATCGTTCATAAGATGATCTGCAGTATGTCGCTTCCTGTAGAATAGAAATATAACTGCAATAATAGATTGTGTATAGTTGCTAATATTAATTAATATTAAAGTGACTTGCGCCGAAAACAATGAATATTTAATTCTAAATTTAAAGAATAATACAGCTAGCAAAGGAATCGGCAAATTCTTGACAAATTTGTAGAAACATATTTACTTGGGCTAAGAGGGTTCTGCGATTTGAACTGCTGGAAAATAAGATCAAACGTTAGAATGGATTGTTTCCTACAGGGAAGTCACTAAATAGTTTATATTTTCTGTCTTTGGTAACGACATGATAAAGTAATTTCATTTCTTTTTAATCACGACAATAGTCAATGTGTGATTCATCATTTACTCCAAATTTGGACAAGAAAATGTTTTAAATGAACTTATCAACGAAAAAAGCACTTTTATATGCATTTTGAAATAGCATACGTGCAAAGTCGACTACATTGACAAATTATCGAATATTTTGTCAATATTATAGTTGAATGACTCAACCAGAAAAATGCTTTGTAGGTCTCATACACTAATGAGGTTAGAAAATTCTCCACCCATTTTTCTTTTTTACAGACCAGTGTGTTTTAAGTGATGTCAAATAAGTTCATATATTGTATAGCCAAATTTATACCTTAAACAAAAATCTTGAAATATGATGAATACACATCATTTTATTATAAATATTAACTAGCTCATTAACCATGATCTCAAGCCAAAGTTCAAGAGAGTGTGAAAGTTTTGTTATTACGGAAGGAATAAAGGAATCTGCCACTGCGACATGATGGATAACGTAAGTCTGCTTTGAAGAACAAAAATCATTTTGGTTCAACGATAATGGCCGGTTGAGTACTCGCATCACTTCAAACTAGATTTTGATGTTGGAAACTGGCTTTTGTGGCTTTTAGTCAAAATTTTAACAGCAAGCTGGTTTTGGCGTAAGGCGCACTTATGGTAACTTTTGAGGTGATGAAGGATGTGATCAGCCCAAACCATGCAGAAGAATGATGCGCTGTCTTTCTTATGAGCAAACAAAAATCACAATTAGGATGTATGGTTGGTATATGATAACAATGCGCAAGTTTCACGTTGCATATAGTTATCGTCTTTTTAATATTGTTTGGCAAGACATTTTTGCTTTGGTTGGTAAAAGTATATCTGGAACGATAGCGAACAATTATGTACTATTCCACAAATCAAAGGGGCACAATGGTATATGTAGAAAATTGGGTATTCTCAAAGCATGTGAACCAAGATTGCGTGCACCGGAACGTAGTATGCGTACCAGGTTAGGGTTAGACATATTTTCAAGTACAAATACTATTGGAGACACTTGGCTAGCCCCCGAACACGTAATAGAACTAAAATAAGGAATATTGGAATAAAAATATGACATAACCGTAACTTGGTACACATGCTACGTCCCGGTGTACGCCATCGCGGTTCACATACTTCGAGAGTACCGAAAATTGGACATGAAGTGTACATATGGATAGTTTTGATAAAATGTTTTTGTTGTTAGTCTTGTTGTCATATTTGGGGTTGCTGCAATAAGTATTGATCATCCCTCCAACTACTGGACCGATCTATTACAAAATTTACGTACTTGGAGATTGTATAAATCACTGGGAGGCTATTACGGGCCCATCATTTCATCCATCATTTTGCTGTTTTATTTTAATTTATGGGTACACTGTTTTGACATCTGACCTTTGTATTCGTCCATATATTTGAGCATTGCTTTCCTATTTACACGACATCATATTACCCAGACTGCATTTTCTTCAAAATAAGTCATATTCCTATGAACCTTATATGGCTCATAAATTTAATATGTGATAACATTTTGATTGATAGCAGGCATTGCGGGTTTCAATCATATTATGAAAAGCATAATATGTTCTTATCATTATGACATATCTGTATCTTGTTATGAAGTATTACGGCCATCTACTTTGCGTTTGCACAACAACTAATTATAATGTATAATACCACGTGAATAGAAAATATGTTTTATGTTTTGATGATAAATCAAAAATAGGTTTCCGATGAAAAATTATCTTCAGACTATAGTCTCATTTAAGTGATCTATCACTAATATCTAACTTTTCATATAAAAATAAATAAGTGAAAATTTGAAGAATTTTATAAATCAGCAGAATTTTTCTGTATTTTTGAAATCCCATCGTCTATGGTATTTTAAATGCAAAAATTATGCGACAAAAAAAAAGAACAGTCTTCACGACTTCGCTTGGTCACTATAGAAAGTACTCAACGCAAACGCGGAACCGCCACAAGATGCCCAATTTTTATTTTCGACTACATCATCGCATCAAAAAACGAATTCCATATAGCCCCCAGAAATTTTTGAAATGAATAAAAGTAACAGCCCTTTGGCGAGAAATACAATCTTCAACCACTGAAAATTTCAAAGCAATATCTAGAAATTAAAGAGAAAAGCGATAATAATAAGAGATATTAATAAGGACAACAACAAATTTGTCCAATAACATAAAACTGTTATCAAATACCCCTATTATCAGCAAAGAGGCAATAATTATGCCAAGTTTTTCTAAGTGCTCAAAAACTCCAGATAACAAATATTATGACTGCGCTGCATCATATCATAGCGATTATTATCGCAAGTTGGTACAAAAAGTGATTAACGAAACTTGATGAATACAAGCAAACAAGCATTACCGATTCCCAGATGATTATATTTTATCTGCTGTCAACAACATACTTTGCTGTGAGCAAAGCTTGGGAATAACATGATTCATCAGCTTTTAACGATAATACTATCGTTATCAAAGTGGCGTCAAGTAACGAAGAAAACTAATGGATGTTGGATTGACAAAACAATACTTGTACAAGATCTGGATTATGACCTTTTTGTTGATGTAGCCCATATTTGAATGCTTGTAAAAAAGGGCAACTTCAGTAACGAAAAAAAAGTGATCGATGTATCTAACTTCTAACAATATTATGTGGTCGTATTTTGTTTGTTACCATGGCCGAAAACGAAAACAAAGTAAGGCGCCACATTAGGTGGTCGTGGTATATCGATCTTCGGATAGACGTATACTGATAACTTGCATTCATCATATTTCCTGTCTGATATATAGAAATGCTAAAGGCGTTTGGTATCGCCAATATTCAAATAAGCTTTTCCATTATAAACATATTTATACGCTGCGATCGGAGTTTGGTCGAATTTTGGATTCAATTTGAATGGTGCAATTTGATCTGTTCAAGCTTCAACAACTTCGTTTTAAGTCATGGCATATAGTAATAGTTTCAAAAATGCTATTTAATTGATTAATTTGCTTTGGATTATTTTTATTCTATGGGAATCGAATTCACCATCTTGTTTTTGGTTGGGAGAAGAACAAGTCAAACTGGGTACCCGTTTCACGATTACTCGCTAAGTTTGTATTTATGAGTCGTCTGTTTTTTCTTATGCTCTAACTATGACGACAAATTATCACATTTCCAAATTAAGTTAGTATGAAAAATTTATATATAAAGAGATTCCGGTAATAGGATTGTAAGTTAAATTATCCAAAAAGTAAAGTCTCACAACAGCTGTAAAACCAAATAGCAACATTGACACAGAGCTTTACCATGAAAGAACATTCATAGAAGATAAGTGGGAATTTATACATTTTTAAAATAGCAATAAACTTAATACATTGACATAAAGACATAGAAGAAGATATTTTCCTGAATGTGGTCATATAAAATATATGGCGTCATAATTCCCCCATCTCGCAGTAATGTTATATCAATTCCAGTAAAACACGAAATCGAAACTCCAATTCTCAGAAATTGTACAATTTAGGGCTCTTAAATTCAATAAAAAGTAATATAAACAAACAAACGGTCATGAGAGGTGCAGACAGTGTAAACAAATTATTTCATTTTCGTCTGTTAATCATAATAATTCACCCTGCGATGACAAGAGGTCAAACCGCTAGTCCAAATTCGGGTTTGTGTCAATAACCATAACACGTTTTTTGGTTACATCAGTGAAAAATTAGAAGTTAAGTGGAAATTTTGCGGATAAATAAAAAAGCTTTGTTTGAATAATTTGTATAAAAATATTAAAACGTCTGTAGAAACTCTACAAAATATATATTCATAGATTCTACCGAAACGAATTTAAATATTTGAAAAAATTTGGTGGTATTTGCAGCAATGGGAACCACACATTCTAAGAGCTCACTAAATGAGCTTATAAAATGAGATAACTGGAAAACATTGATGAAAAAATGTCACAATTACGCAACAAATAGTTACAGCTAGTAAGTCGATCATTGGCTAAATACCGCAAAGTTAACTGTTTAGCGATTTTAAGAGCCGTTTCACATCAGTCGAACAAATATTTATTAAAACCTGCACGCCGAATGTGTTTGTGCCGAATTTTTGCGCATGTGTTTTTGCCGAATTTTTGCGCCCGTGTTTTTGCCGAATTTTTGCGCCTGTGTTTTTGCCGAATTTTGGCGCCTGTGTTTTGACCCAAAGCTGTCAGTGAACCTAAGTCTGTGTATATAAGATCCAACTGTTTTTGAGTAATTTTCTGCGAATAAATAACTATTGGTATGTATTCTCGAAGATGCGGTTAGACGAATACAACTGCAACTTCCGCTTCAACAATTTTAAAACCGATACAATCGAAGTTCATCTATTAGATCGTTCATGTTTTATTGTATCATCACAGATTTAAAACTGTTTAAAAAATATTATCGGAAATGATGGTCACTGATCAGATTTAAAAACAATTAATAGCCCAATTTTACGTTGAAGGTGATCTACAAAAGGCAAAGTTGACTGCCTTAATCATGCACGAATAATTGGACAACATTAAAATGGCTATAGTAAATTACTTGTATATATACATTTTGAGAATATAGGAATGTATATTGTTGGTGATTTACATTTTTGTTATAGAAGATCAACATCAGGATACCAACTATCTCCTTATTCGATAAATGGCGCGTATGTGTC